CCTGAAAGCATTCTGTTCACAGTGGTAAACACTTGCAGATGGTTGAGGTGTCACCCAGCCAAACTGTCCCGTCCTCACACAGAGGTGCTGGGACCGGGGCTGCAGCAGACCCATCTGTTTTGCAGCACTAATTTATTCTGTATGGCAGATAATCAGGATCATAAAAACACAGGAGAATTAAATATATGCAGTGGATGATTTAAAAGTGCTTACTCAACAGATACAGAATCATCCCTTCAGTCATTAACACACTACATAACAGTAGTACACTACATAGTCAGTTAATACTAAATATACTGTATAGGATAAAATAATGATATCCATGGAAAAATACATGAATGGAATTGTTCCATCAGACAACTTCAGAAGATCGTTGTCGCACAGGTTGTTAATGTTTTTTTAATAGCTATAATCAAATCCGAGCCCTCCTGCTGCTGCTGCGATGAACGCAGGGTAAACAAAAGTCTCCTGATGAGACAAGGAAATGAAAATATCCTGCGAATATTAGCACTGCTCTTTCCCCAGACATCACCGTCATAAACAGAGCCATCTGACCTACTTTAGATTAGGTCTTTGTTTTGTGATGAGAGACTTTAGTCGGTAATCGCCGGGTAATTCGTTTATGTGAGCTTCTGGGAAAGAAGAATGCATTTTAATTCACCGATCATTATACTGAATGCAACTTAGAAACTGTGGACTGACTGTGAGTGTCGGAAGAGGCTTTGTAAGTCTCTGCGGTAATCAAATATTGAACTTTTTATTTTACAATAATGTGAATTATACAGTGCTGAGCCCATTGAGCAGGTCTTAGACTTTCATTTATTCAAATTATATTATTTATTATCTTCCTAAAGGTATAGTCCTTTACATATTGAGGCTGCTTGTTTAAATCCATATACGGTACACAAAGTATCATTACAATATCAACTTAAAGCACTTTTTAAGACACGTTGGAACTTGCGCTTGGTGTCCTTATCTATTTTTCATAGTTAAGTGATGATGTAATTATTGTCATGATTATTAGCAAATGACAAAATGGGCTGTAGTGACTGATATGTTTTTTGTTGTGGTTGGCTTGGCTTTGTTAGTTAAATCAAAAACTAGGAAAAGTTTTTCAAAGATCACCATATAAACGAAAAAAGTATTCTTTAGAGAGTGTCATGCCCACTTAATCTCCCCTTAAAGAATAATAACCACATTAAGAGCGTTGAAGGAGGCTGGCACTGCTCGTCTTGATATACTGTATGATAAAGAACTCCTACAATAGAAGTGGGAAGTGTTGTGCAAGACAGAGAGGCAAGAACTGCATTTAAATTCACCAGCTTAAAAACAAAAGAGCATTTTACATTTTGCATTAAATTCACATTAGAGTATAATTTTCCTTTAAGATAAATAAGTCTGGGTTAGATTAATGAAACCAAGCCAGATTTCTCAAATAATAAACCTCAACCTGTTGAAAATGAGTATAATATGTGTCCTTAAAAGTGCATTACTATAAAGGCCCTACAATATACTATACATGTTTATGGACCAGCTTTGTTTAAAAAAAATAACAGCAAACTGTATAATCCAGTAGATTGTTTTTAAATTAATACATGTGTTAAAACGTCAGAATAATGAGAATAACCTTATCCAGTAGCCTCATCTTAAATAATGTTCATTAAAGATGAATGCCATCACTATTTCTGCTCACAGAAAGAGAACAAGTGTAGCTCAGTTGTATACGGCATGAATGAATACAGTCAGAAACCAATGCTCTATTTCACAGAACCTCAGGGATGTAGCTGACAAAAGTCTACAATGAAGGCAAAGAAAACCCATCTGCTTTCCTTTGATTTGCTTTCTGTTGCAGGCTTGCTTATGTTAGCTTGTCCTCTTAAACCAGAACAGCTCAGAGCCATGGCTACATTGAAAACCTGACAGGAGCATTGAGTGCAGTACAACAGATGTTGAGTTACCATATGCGCTTGACAATCATGGCCATCCTCAGAATCAACTCAATGCCTACAGCCTTGGTGCTGAGACACACTACATCTCCTAAGCCCGTCTGTTGTACCCTTCCCTCCTTGTCTGGTGGCTTCACAATGGCAGATTGGCCTTTAGCTATAAAAGACACTTCCTTTTCCTTGTTCTCGCCTACAGTCTTCTTTCTCTGTAGCGACACACGCCCCTCCTCTCCCCCCCCCCCCCCGCCAGCCTTTGAGGCAAATGTCAGCTAATTAAGAGTTACATGATCGACCTTTCTTACCCCCTTCCTGATTCCATGCCACAGGTCGGCTCCAAGACACACAAGTGTGAGCGTCGGCAGACACACACGGAACACAGGTCAGCGTGGCCTTTGAGATGCTAAATACTGCTGGGCTCCAACAGGGAGGTGGACTTCATTAGAGGAGACACTGGCTGTCTAAACAGTGAGGATGCACAATGATATAAAGAGGATATGTGTGTGTGCTACAGAGCTACATTCATCATGTAGCTGTTCTCCACCAGCACATGTCTGTCCTCTGGAATATCCCAGTGTCCTTCAATTCTTAGCGCCGACACTATGCCCATTTCATTTTTGTTAAAATATGCTTTGAGTGTTACTTTGTCCTACAAAACAAGGTCACTCTAAATTTAATCCCTCCTGTACAGGTGCTTCTTTTTTTCTGAGTCAATCACTGAAATTCTCTGCTGGCCTGAGAAAAAAAAACAAAAAAAACTCACACCTGAGTGTGCTAAGTAGAACATCTTTCTTTCACCTTTCCTGCCAATTTAAGTCACCTGATTAGTTTTTCTGCAACTATTCTCCTTTTTATCCGTGGTTGTTTTTCTTCTTACATTCACCACTCTTGGTACGAGAACCTTGACAGCGGCTTTGATACCAGCATGGAGAGACAATAGGTGGAGAGAGTACAGATGACATGTGTTTGATACTAAACTTTACAAATACAAATGTGGGTCGCAGTTGTGTAGGGTTAGCGTTAACCGGCACAGATTCGAGCTGCCAAAAACAGGAATACACACACTGAAAACCTGCCTTATAAAAGCTGTGCCTCTGTCTCCAGCATCCAGTTGACAAGTATATGTGAATGCTGCAGGGTCCCCTACTTGTGGGATAGGAAGTTCCTTGACTCCGGACGAGAATTATGTACACAGTCTTGCACTTTACAAATGTCTTCGTTCTGTAATGCTGATTTTAATTTCAGGGTGTGTCAACTCTCCAAATGAAATTCTATTTGATCATCGAGCACAAATGAAACATTTGAGAAGAGGCTCTGAATATTGAATATCATCTCTCCAGTTCAAAGCATTTTTAAGAGCTGTGGGGGAAACGCTCCAGAGACGAGAGAACAGAGAGGAGCTGAGGACAAGCTTTCTCACTCAGGCTGCAGCTACACACAGGGAGTCAAGTAATGGACAGTTAGGATGTCAATAACACATATAGGTCTCTTGTGTGGCTGTGGATGTCTTTCCAGGTTTCTGTGTGCGAGTGGACAGTTGTGTGGTCGTAAAATGTTAGAGGATGAATACAAGGAAAGAGAAAGTCGACAGGGAACTGGACGGTTCTTTGAAGTGGTTCATTGTCACCAGTGACCTTGTTTTTTTTTGTTTTTTTTAAAGTATGTGCTACTCTGTGTGGCAGGAAGGAAAAACACAAATGAGAATGAAAACAAGGAGAAGTTGTGACTGTTCTAAGAGCCTCCTGTCTGCACCTGTTCCTCTTCTCAGGTGTCTCAGTTACTCCCACGGATTAACCTGCTGTCCCTTCGGAATCGGAACCCTCAAAAGTATTAGATATGCGTTGTTTCCGTCACGCACACACCATGGATTAACGTGTTGCGACATTTTTCAGGTCGCAATTTGTTGTGTTATACGTCAACATCTTGTGAGTCAGTGAAAATGATTCAACACATGAGTCAGCCTGCTGTGCATTCACTGAAGCTTTTCATTTAGATGATCAGTGCAAACATTTCTGGTTATCACTCTGGCACACTACTAGTATGTGTTGACCTCACATCACAAAACAAAAAGGCTTTGTTTAGAATAAGCAGGGGGAGATCGTAGTATTTCAATAGGAGCATGTGTATCCTGTCTTAAAGGACAGAATAAGAGGAGAGTGCCACCTGCAGAAACTCAAATGTCACTAACAGCCACACAGTTTTATTTACAGGTGAGCTGACAAAGTATCATTCTGGAACACAATAGCCATGTGTGCTTGTACTAATATTGTACACATGTATGTGCCACCTCCTTTGCTGTCCAAAGCCCTCTAAATGCTCTGTGCTGCCTTACTGCCCCCGAACCTCATGGGGAGGCATTGGTCACTGCCACCTCACGGTGACCATTGCCTCCAATAGAGGGGACGGAACCCAACAAGACCCCCCCCCCCCCCCCCCCCCCCATGACAGAAACTCCTCATTTTTCCATGCGCGCATAGTGCTGTTAGCCGTCCATAGTGTCAGCTCTGCCTAACAGCACCCGTCTGAATTTAATATGTTTTGGAGCAGTGCTGCCATCTCCTCCGATGTGTTCCAATTTAAAGTGGAGGAGTTAAATCCATGTCTTATCTGAGTTTAAATTTGAAATCTGGTGCAGGGTGTTGGTGAGCTAGCAGCATTGATGAGCTTTAATGAGCAGTTGAAGAAACCAAGGGTTACAAACACATCACATCTCTCAACCCATTTTTTTTACTAATGAGGCTGAAGTCTTGGTGTTTAGTGTTGAATCTTTACAAGCAGAATGAGCAACAAATAACCAATTTGTTTTAAATCATTTAAAACAAGTCTTAAAGGTGCATTGGTCTACGTGGCCCATTTTAAGAACTATTTTGTGAAGTATCTGGATCTGAGGTTTTGCAAATCTCACGACTATCAAACAGCAGTGGAAAGACGCACATTTGAAACATTTTAGCAGAAATCACAGAAAAATACAATCTGATATTGATTGTACTTAATACCCATTTACTGTACACTGACAACTTCCTCATCTGGACTGTGTTTTTGTGTTTCTCCTTGCAGAGACATCAAACCTGACAACATATTACTGGACGAACATGGTAAGATCCCTCTCTCATTCTCGGATAAATATGTAATGAGTGAAGAGAACAGGGTGATATTTATGACCACGGCTCCTTCATGCTGTGAAATTCCTGGTGTGAATAATGAAGTGTCATCATAGTTTATAGTGTCGATTTCACATAAATAGACCGGCAAACATATACACACAACACTACACGTATGTTACAGGAAGGGGAACAGTTGTAAATCAAAGCCACATAAAGGTCGTACATTTCTTCATCAATATGTTAAATATTGAAGTCGTTTCACTTATGATCTGGAAAAATACAGGCTTTCTAAGAAGGGCTTGACAATATGTGTTTAACATTTACATATTTCCTTCTACAGAGTAACAGTATTAAACATTTAAAATAAAAACAAAACAAAGATCATTTCAGCTACCTTGTTCAATGAGGACATATAGACCTGTGAATAAAATGAGTCGCTGCTGGTGTCATGGCAACCACACAGTGAAGAGGACTTCAGGAAGTTACTGTGACCCAGCAAACAAATAATCCAGCAAGTAACTCCTTAAAAAAGCCAAAGAAGGCTTTTCAGACAAGGATAACTTTTTACAGAAAACGAAGAACCGATTTAAATGCTAAATGGGCTTGAGCTTGAACAGCACTTTTCTATTCTTCTGACTACTCAAAGCGCTTTTACACCACAGATCACACCTACCCATTCACAATCATTCAAACACTGATGGCAGAGGTTGCTATGTGAAGTGACAATCAGATGTAACTAAACCCATTCGTACACATTCATACAGCAGGAGCTGGGGATTGAACCACCAACCTTTAAGTTAAGAGACGAACGACTCTTCCAACTGAGCCACAGCGAAAACTAGCATGATTTTGGAAGTAGCATTTCCTCAGCCCTCTGTGCTCCCTCTAAAGACACGCCTCTCTCTTACACGCATGAGCTCCGTTGTTTCAGAATTGGACCTCAGGGAGACATGATTGGTTCATCAAATTGGTAATTATGGCAGACATCAGATCAAAGTTTTTACAGGCTTACAACTGCTACACATGACGGATTGTCTTCTGTTCCTTTTTCAGAGCACATGAATTATTCATTTCTGTCAGGACCTAAAGACAATTTCAACCAAAATCTGAAAAAAGTGTATCTGGAGAAAATCACCAAGCCTGCCTTTAAAGTTGTTGCCATCCCATTGCTACAATCTGCCTCCACATTAAAAACTCATAGGGTCCCAAAACTGTTGGGTCCAATTCCAAAAGGTCACGTTGTATTTCTATCCAAACAAGAGATACCATTAAATAAGCTTCACAAGTGCAAGTGGATGGATTTGCTTACCTTTGAACAGAGTCTGTTCAAAGTCTTTGTGTTAAGCTAAAGCTAAGCGACAGCTGACTGAAGCAGCATATCAGAGCAAACAATACAAGAGTTTGTATTCATCTTATCTCATTCTAGGCCAAATAAGCTTATATAATAATGAATCTTTGGTTTCAAATGCATGGAAGCTGGTTATGTATTAAAAGAGACACTAACCAAGAATGACATCATGAATCTGGTTTAAGAGATGAAGGCTTCAGATTAAAGAAGTGCAGCGCTATTGTGACCTATAATTGTAGATTCAAAACGAAGACACAACTATTCAAAGCTACATTATGAAAAGGGAAGTTGTGCACCACCCAAACAACACCTGTGCTCTTGTGGTGCTGGCATATAAAATAAAAAACGAAATAGTTATCCTCAGACTCAATAGATTTGCGTTAAATGGCGGAGTAGAATAAAATTGTAGTAGTATACCTAAATCACATCAGCATTAAACAATCCCGTAGTGTAACTTAATACTAAAGCACAGCCCATAAAGAGAGCAGCTCCAAAACCTGAAGCGTCCAAACACTTTGCCCCAAAGTGTACATAAACACAGACACATCCACTTTGGACAGGTGGTATCAGATGGCACTGGGCATCTGCATTAAGGAGTTGAGGAGACAAAGATATGTGCGATGGCAGGTCTGCTGTCGGTACAGACTGAGAGAGAAAGAGCTAAGAAAAAGAGGTGGAAAAGATAAAAACAGAGTGAGACAAAAGGGGAGAGCCACAATGACAAGACAAGGAGAAAGAAAGTGATGGAAGAAGCAATCATTTGTGGAAAAGAAAGACAAGTTTGAAGAAGAGAAACAGATAAAGAGGCAGCTTCGTCAGCCTGGTAAAGGACAACATTCAACCGTACTTTCTCTCTCTCTCTCTTTGTATTTGTGTCCTTTATTTCATCTCAATAAGCACTTCTCTTTCTCCTCATGGATCCTACCCTCGCTCTGTTTTTCTGAACAGACCCGTAGTTTTCCTCTCCGATTATGTCTGAAACAACATGAGGTATGAGAGGAGGGGGAGCAGGCTGTTTTGCTTCTGCTCACCAGTCAATTGTACAAACTAGAATTGACCCGTTCCTCCTGTGCTCCTCTGGGAGCTTCCGCTAAATAGAGAAAAACAATTTCCTCATGCACGTGTGCTGCCGTTTTTTTTTTTTGTGTGTTTTTTTCTAAACTGCCGCATGGCCCCAGGACGCTGAGAGAAGCTCCAAGGCGGCGGCTGTCTAGGTTATCCACCGTGAGCTGCACGCACACATGCAGGAACTAAGGTGAAATGGGGAGAACCACAGCTCACTTCTCCTCTCCTCTCCCAAACAACAGAGGTGTCTGAGCATGTTTTCAACAACAACACTCACGGGACCCTTCAGACAAGCACATTATGGGAATTTTGACTTGTTTAAAGATGTAAAAAATAGAATTATCATAATTTTCTTCGTAATATATGATGAAAATAAGAAATCTGACTTCAGATGAGCTTTCACTCTGATAGGTAGATCTGATGAGGGCTTGTGTATCTTGTTATACCAGTTTGACAAACGATGGTGGGATTTTGGCAACTTAAAGCATTGAGCAAAAGATAAAATAAAATGTGGGACATGGAAACAAGTATAACCCCCATATATATTTGCCAAGTGACCAATTAACTTCTCTGATGACTTGATGGGCAGAACTGGGAATGCTTAAACTCATATGGTACTTACTGGTATACTGCTATATTGAAGATTACAATATAGCGTTTCAGGAGCTTCATGAGCACTGGGTCATTATTATTACAGCTCAAGTTCATCCATGATAGTGCGTAGACGTTTACATGCTTGAAAAGAAAAGGAAAATGTTCCTTTCTTTTGTGAGCTCCGAAGTCAAATCACTCAAACCCCTTTTTTCTTACAGAAAACTCAATACACGAGTTAGAAACTGTACTGTGTATGATTTGGAGTCACTTCTGTTGCTTCATTCCAAGTTCCAGCTGAGACTAATGAAGTTTATTCAGAAGTCTTTAAAAGATAAATGTGAATACTTTTAATGACCTAGTAAACTTGCTCATACCGTATCCACAGTATTTGTGACGTTGCTGTTTTCAGTGGTGGGGGTGTATTGAGTTAGCAGTGAGGAAAGAGAAATTATAAATAGAAGAGATATGCAGAGCGTGAAACGTCAGAAGGATCAAACAAACCTCAACAGTTGTGGAGGTAATCCCAGTAAAACATGTTAGATAACTAAGCCACCAGGAAACCTGCAGAGCCATTGTTCAGACAGCACTCGCCAACAGGAAACGGGTTGAATGCTGAAAAACGTAATTCCATTAAATCTCATCGGGTTGATTTATTATACTGACAATAGATAACCCATCTTAAGTTTTTATTTGAATTTAGGAAAATTGTCCTGCTTTGAACCAGATGTATTTTAATAAATGTCAATTTGTTTTTATGTACACTCAGGATTTGTAGTGAGTGATGTCACAGTCTGATGAAGAGCGCAAAAAAGAATAATAACTATATAAATAATACATTTAATTTATAACGCACTTTACATTTGAAGCAAATCTCTAAATAATTTCTGGACTGGAGGATAGAAAAAAGTGTTGATGGCCTTCATTTAAAAAGTGCCTTTTAAGTCTTCTGACCATTCAAAGTAATTGCGCTGTCAACATTCACACAAATACTCAAAAGACTTTGGGTTATAGCTGAGTTATTTGGGGTTCAGTTCAGGGAACATCAGTAGTCCCTTGCATATACCATTAAAGTCATTTACCAGTGAGGCTCTTATGCTTATTAATCAATCTACCAGTAGGGCCGGGGAAATAATTGATTTACAATTTTGACTTCCCAACATCATGAAAACAAGACGATCGAGATTAGAAGATTACAAAAACTAAACAAGCGCAGCATGCCGTAGTCCATAAATAGTAGTAGTAGGTAGTGGAAAAAGTATTTGTTGTTGTTTTTAGGCCACAAGAGTACATCACCACGACAGCATTGTTGCATTTTACATTTGATGCGGTTTGATTTAACACTGCACTTTGTCACCAAAGTCAAATGTTGTCTACCATAGCCACCAACAACTGTAGCTCCGGTCATTGGATACAGCAATCCGGCTTATTAATGTTGCACTATGACCCCATCGTAAACAACAGGACAGCGGAAGTATGGCACTTGTAGCGCGTAGCAGTATTTTGAGCTATAAAATGGCCAAAAAAACATATTTGTTGGCTGTGTCAGGTTAAACTGGCATATCAACAGGGGCAATGTGTACCCACATTAAGCACAGTCATGTAGATGTTAAACTGCAAGGAGGGCTGAAGGCCGGGGGCCGCAATGCTACCCTTAGCCACACTCTGCAAACCTATTCGACAATGTTTACAGATGGCCAAATTCAACCCACAATGCATTTTGGTTCACCTTCCCTGTTTGGTTCAGATCGTATTCTCACCTACGGCAAACTGAACTCCGGAAGCAAACCAAGACCCCATTTTCAAGTGGACCAGAGTTTGGTTCTGAGGTCCACACCAGAGTGCGTTTGAGAATTCACACCATCCCAAATCAAACAAACTGTCCGATAAAGTGCACCGGAGTTTGTTTCAAACGGACCAACCATGTTAGATGTGAATACACCCTACGACGTGTTACTTGAGCAGAAAACAAAAGATTGAACCGTTATGAAACGCATTAATGCTTATGTTCATGCTGACATTCACCTGTCTAAATTACAACGGTCAATACTGACTAAGAGTCGATTGGGTTGGACTGAATGTTGTGAAATCATAAGAAATAATGTTAACGACCAACAAATCAATGTTAATGATTGTCAGTGAGCGACTCCTTCATCACATTCCCACCCCATACCTTTTCTCAGCCATTTGCAAACTAATTTTGAAAAGTGTGCAGGGGAGGGGTTGGGTCAGACCTAGCAGTTAAAGTACATTTAAACATTGTTAAAAAAAATTAATCAAACAAGACCAATCCCATGAGCCTTAAAGCCTCGGCAACAGGCCACCAGAGATAGATTCTGCTAACGCCTAACCAGAACAAACATAGCAATGAATCATCACTGCCATCCTACGCTGACTGAAATGACACCTATGTGTGGTATTAAAACATGTGATAATGTCCCTAGATACTTCTGGCTGAGTATCTGAACATTTTGATGATAGTCATCTGTTTCCCCCCGCTGGCGACTGTGTAAAATACTTGTCCTAAATCTGTCTCCTGCAAAGCTGAGAGATATGAAGGCAGAATGGGGGAAAGGGGGAGAAGACAAGTATCTGACAGGGACAGGAGGGATCATTAAATATGAAAACACGACTCATACTCAAGCTCCACTTAAGAGTCTAAACTGGCTTTATAGTCCTGCTGCACCTCTGTCACAGTCCTCAGAAAGCCTTCACAATGTTTCTTTTATACTGGCAGTGCACCGAGCTACCGCCATATTTTGCATCACTTATAGCTACACTCACACAACACCGCACTAAATACAGCATATGCTATGTGTATATTTCTAAGTGGAAAGGACACAGAAGGAAAAAGAAGTCAATGCATAAAGAAGCAGGGAACAGATATGAGGCTTATGTGGGAAAAAGAAAATCAAAACCGAAAAAAAATAAGGACAGGATAGAGGAAAGTGTAGGAGGTGAAATCAAAAGAAGTAGAGAGAAAAGGGGCGGAAAAATGAAAAGGCATATTAATGCAAAATCACAAACAAAAAAAATCAACAAGTGAGAATAAAGAGGGGTTTGTGATTTTTCTAGAATGCTCTATCCTTAAGGTTAAGTATCTCAGTGCAAATATAGATTTTCATATCAAGATAAAAGGTCGTATGTCGTCTTACTGAATGTGTTTTTGTGGTTACCTGGGACAACCATCCATCCGAACAATCACTCTGCGGCAAAACTCTCCTGCTTTGTATTGCTGCCTCACTCAGTATGACACACACACACACACACACACACACACACACACACACCTAAACTGTATATTCAGCTCATTAGTGTGGGCTCAGTGTGCCTGGCAGACTCTGGGCTATCTTGCAGCACGGCGAGGCACAGGTCAATGATTTGACTTTGGGAGGCTGAGTTAAAACACACTTTCGGTTCAGACACACCGTCATCCCACACACGTCTAATTCCATTAATTCAGCCGCATGTTATTTGAATATGATGCCTTTTAATGATATCAATGACGGAGTAGTATGATCTAGAATACATAAAGGGAGATTTAAACGGATTACGTTGTATTTTAATATTCCTTTTCATCCTTGTTTTGTGCATATCTAAGTCCATCTTCACATATGCACTCCTGAAAATGTCTGGAGAATATCCGGAAGACTGCACCTGATATCCTCCTGATCTGGTTGGTCACACAGTGATCTCACAGTGGGACACTTTTCTTGTTAGACTATGTGGGGGGGGGGGGTGTCCACTATACAACACTATTATACCCATATTTTCCTTTATATCAATGCTATGTGAAGTTCTGCTGAATCAAAATGACAACTAAAGAGCGGAGAAGAACATACTTGTGAATAGAAAAAGGAACAGCAGCAGTTTAATTATGTGTACAGCGATGGTAACAGTCACATGCATGCAATCTATTATCGTGCACCGATCGCAGGGAAAAGGCGTCACCACCCCCTCCAACTCCCTCGAGGTGAATTCTCCTGATAATATCATGCTGCGTTCTAGTGAAAATTTCAGCTGTCTGCATTCACTCATGCAGCTCACCAAACTTGAGGAGTTTGCAGCATACAAAGTAGGATACCTGCTAAGGGAAAGCTAGCAGTTAAATTGAATTTCAAAAAGCTTAAAGGGGGGGCCACAGTCACTTATGATTGTGTAAACACAGTTCTGTGATCGTACAACTTGTGATGTACTTAAATGTCCATTAAAAACAACCTCTGTCCCACTTTGAGTTAATGAAGGTTTCCCTTTTTTTTTTCAGGGCACGTCCATCTGACAGACTTCAACATCGCAGCCATTGTAAAAGAAGACCTTAAAGCCACGTCCATCGCTGGGACCAAACCATACATGGGTAAGAAACTACTTTTTGACCGATGTATGTCAAGAAAAAGAGCCAGAGGAAACAGTTGACATTGAATCTACAGGAAGCACGCAACATAACATCTATAAACCCTACAGAGCAGGCTTATGAGTGCTTATCCCAAACAGTCAAGGGACTTTAGTGAGCCCAGCTTGCACTGCAGGACACATCCTCCTTTTGCTATTTAGAAATCAGAATTGAGATCAGTTTTTTTCTAGTGTCATCACTCAGTGTTTAGAAAATACAACAAATACAGCATGTATCTCCACTCTGGGATTATGGCTTTATTTCTAAGATTAATCCAGTCAAGAGTCACTTTAAATAACCTCTATGACTCAAGAGTTATGAAATGATTGATGAAGGGATGATAAATAAGGATTTAGAGCAGAAACGCTGGGGGAGGTTATTTGAGATCTAAGAAGAAATGCAGATTATTCTCTACAATGCTACATCAAAGCACAAAGTATTTTTACGCCTACAGCCCGTCAGGCCGATTCTTCTTTCAATGGTAACTAACCTTTGACATGAAACCAGACACAGTTGAAACTGAGTGGGCAGTGTATTGACTGATAAAGGTTCCACAGTGAAGGTTGACTATTTCGAGAGCTTTATTTAGCTTCAGAGGCATTTCAAGTGGAAAATATTTTAATTAAAGGGACATTCACCATCACCTCCCTTCATGGGATGCTTATATTCTCAGCGTTCATTTGATTGAAGTGTTGATGTTATTTGCAATAAACAGTTGTTATATATAATATTCTGACAATTTTTTTTAAAATCATGACTTGATCATCACGTTCAAGAGGCCTGAAGCAGAAAATGTAAACTTTTTTTATTCCAGAAAGTGGTTTCAGAGTGAATAATCAAAATAGTTTGCAATAACTTTGACAGTTGAAGACTTATTTATAAAAGTTGCATGAGCCCAAAAAACCTGCAGTCTTTACAAAACAACAATTTTCATTTCGCTTGTCAAGCTCATAACTCTCATGTGCAGTAGCTTTCAGGTCAATGTGTTTCTGGCCCCTGAGCGATCAGATAGATATCAGGATTTAAAGGAAAACAATGACAGGGCAGCGCACCTTTGTGTTTGTGTGTGTGTGTGTGTGTGTGTTTATGCCTTTTGAACATTAAGTGTGTGCTCATGATGGAGACTAATCTTATAACCACATGCGAGTACATTTCAGGAGAATACTCTGTGGTCTAATAGATTATTCATGGATACTCTGGAGAGAAGAAACCAATTTTCTGAGGCTTCTGGAGATAAACTACACGTTTTTCTCCTCAGCATGACAGGGAACAAACCATGACGGATAGAGGAAGTGTGTTTCTGCGTGTATGTGTGCATGAACCTGAGTGTACACACTATGTCACTCACACACAAATGTAAGATGAATAAATAACTGCTGAAAGGTTTTGATTACTCATCCTGCCAAGAGAATCTGTTCAGTTAATTATTATATAAGAAGAAACTTTGATTCATATTGGCTCCAAATCAGGGACCAATTATTACAATTAGCCTCTTTTCATCCCGGAGCAACAAAACACGTAAAAGTTATTTTGAACACTAACGCAAACACTTAGAGCTGCTCTCAGATTCTCCCTTTCATCTCCTTTAACATGCCTGTTCTGTCACCTTTTTACACTTTTAATGTCTGGAACGTCAAGATTTTGTAAACTTTCCAAAACCTTTTGAACAGCTAGAGTCTCCCTCACTTTTTTCGGTTGTCATCAAAGCCAATTCCATGGCGGACTTTAACAAATGTTTACCTAGGTCTGAAAATGGTTAAAGTGAAATCAACTGTCCCCAACAGGGGTGCCATAAAAATAGGAAAAGGGGATCAAAACATCAGAAGTCAACAGAAATTGAAGGTGCGCACAGCGGCACAAACCTGATTATTTTCACACTTTCTTGTGCAATGTTTTCTGTCTGTCAGCTCCGGAGCTCTTTCAGACCTTCGAGGGGTCCCACCCTGGCTACTCCTTCTCTGTGGACTGGTGGTCTCTGGGCATCACAGCGTACGAGCTTCTAAGAGGACAGGTAACTTGATGCACACATACACGGGCCCCAGTGCAACAGCAGTAAATATAACATGTCACGTGCAAACAAAGTACAATCAAGAGGAATAGAAGCTATGATTAAATCTACCTTCACGCTGACCTTACCGCGGAAAGTTTTATTTTCACGCTGCGTGTCAAATCTCTGCAGGAGACGTAGAAAGTAGGACTTGAGCTATTAAGAGGAAAATATAGTTGGAATGGATTTTATTTTTAGAATATTATTTATTTAGTTTTGTGGCTTGCCCCATCTGGAGAAGTTAAACCCTTGATGCGATGGAAATAAACACTGGACATATTTTTGAATCAGTCATTTCGTACTGCAGATGAGAGAGCTGATTATGTTTTGGACTGTACATGCAGAATGTCTGCCCGTATAAAAATAACTGCAATCACCTCTGTTTAAAGACTGACATAGATTCAAAATGCCAGAGACTGATGCACAGCTGAAGCAAAGTGGTGCTGAAACAAATTCCTTATTAGTATTTTTTTTTTTGTTCACATAACTTTCCATCACACTTCTTAAAATGCATTCAGCCCACTTTCTGTCCTCAGAGTTACATCTCACGCCCACAGTTATATCTTTAGTGCTCCCCCAGGCGTTGTCTTTTTTTCTACCTCAAATCCTTCTCTTAACCCTTCTAAAATAGGCGTTGTCCTCTTCCTGACCTACATCGAATACTCACCTAGTCTTCTCTTTTACCTTAACGCTGTGTACTTTGATTTTTCAAGTGCTTTTAACCTTCACTCATTCAGCGATGGTTTGCTGAGCAAACACTTAAACGCCTCCACACCCACCTCCTGTGACTTTGACATTAAACCCATACACACTCTTTCCTCATTCTTCACTTTTTCCTTCATGTAAACTTCTCACCCAAACTTTCCTTCACCTCCCCTCACTTCTCCCATAAATTTCATTATCACTTCATCCCTGTGTCTCTCAGGGACATTCTTCTATACCCTTTCTCTGACTGGCACATTTCATCTCTGTCTACAAAACATGAATCTGTCTCCAGGCGTTAAAAAATTGGCCTGTTGGATGTGCAGAATTATTTGGCTGTTGAAAATGGAGAACTAGCTGTCTGTTATCCAGCTCCAGGCACCCAACGATCCCTTCTCACACCTTTGCTTCAGCTTATCTCTCTCTCTCTCTCTCTTGTAAGCTTCAGCCCCCTCTCACTTCATTCATGCTTCTCTCTCTGACCATTTCACTGCTCGCCCGGTGACTGTGCCGATACCTGCCAGGCCCGAAAACTTCTTATAGGTTTGGATCCAGGAAGCTTAACAATTCTTTTGAACCACAAATCAATCACTGTCACTTTGGTTCTCCACGTCCTGCCTTTGGCGTGTTTTCTTCTTTTAAAGTTAGCCAGCCCGAGTCAGGGAAAACAGAGACCACATTGTGCTTTTCATAAAAAATATCTGCTGCTATAAAATCATCAGATAGGAAAGACAGACCCTGATAGAGACAGTATATCACTGGATCCTGGTTAGAATAATCCATCTCTCTGCTACACAGCAAAAACAAATACAACTTGAAATAAAGAAAGTCTCCTGTTTAGGTTTACTAGTACGGCAAAAGATACTGTTGAATATGTTAAGACACTGCAGACTTAGTGTAAGAGGGAGGAATTATTTACCTTACATGTGCCTTGTATGGAGTGGAATATACAATAATTGAAGTCATTTATTTAAAAAGGCTATTATCTAATGAAGAATGGCAGAGTGTCTTTTGGGTAACATAGTGTTCAAATTCTTTATAATTCTCTGACATCTAAGAAATGACATTACATTTTGGGCTGTCCAATAAATTGTAATTGTTGCAATTATTGCGAATGTGCAATAAACATTTAGCAAAAGACTGCCTGAACCCAATGGATTAGAAAAACAAGTTTTATTGTACCTTTTTCTGCATTTGTAAATGTGACTTATCAGATCAAGCCCTGGGAGTTCAGGCCATGCTTTCACCCTTTGTTCATATCAAAAGAAGTCCCATTTAACCAGATTAATCAGATTTATGGAGTACAGTTGGTAGTAAAGTGCCAGCTACACAGTGATAAAGGAAATGTAAGTTAAAACTAATATGCACGGCCTGCTCCGACCTCCACCTCAGCGACGAGGAAATGTGAACAACAGGAACGCGAGGAATACAAAGGAGAAATCCTGCCAGCATTTTATCCCATATGCTGTTTTGTAAAGCATCTCAAGACACTTATTGTGAATTGCTGCTATACAATGATTGATTGATTGATAATACCACACTCAAATATTTGTACATATCCCACTTTACATTTATTGTCTCAATATTGAACACTATTGCTGCATATCCCAGACATTTGTTCCATGATGGATTTGGTCAAAAAGTGAATATGTGACCATATAAGCTTTGATAAAAATAACAATCCAACCAGCCCAATCTGAAAGAGTCTTATACCTGTTTCAATCTCCAACCCAGGTCTCCGGTGTAGACTGGAGGGTAAAGAAGGACCCTCAGCAGCCTTGTTTTCTGACCCATGTACATGCCTCTCATACTGAAAGAGAGTTTAAGTAGTGTGTTGAGAATAGTCCATTATTCCCCGTTTCCTCTATCATTTGTTTTCATCAGTGCAGTAAATGGGTTCACAGAAGGTGAACACAAGGAGAGGAGGGGAAAAAAAAGGGAGGGTTGGGAGGACCCACTGTGGAACAAACTTTAAGACAAGCACTTAATCAAAGGATCGCCTCCAAGCAGTGCATCGCTGTGAATATAAGAAATCTGTACCATATATTCTCCTCTCTTCTTTTCAGCGGCCCTATGTGATGAGATCCAGCACACCATCTAATGAGATCCTTCAGACCTTCCACAAAGTCCATCCCAGCTACCCAGCAGCCTGGTCTTTGGAGATGAAGTCTCTTCTCAGAAAGGTACACGAGCAGCACATGCATGATGCATAACATTAGCTAACAATTAGCAATGTGTGCTAAATGGTACGCATACACTGCAAGTTTTTACCTGGACAGCAAGAAGGCCAGGATATACCCAATATCCTATGATGTAAAGTTAATTATATACTTGTGGCACAATTTCAAGGCCAGATGTACATTTTTTAAAGGTTATTTTTAACACTTCAATCTAAAAACCTAGATAACCACCAGAAATGTCTTCCTCACATTGCTTCTCTTCTCTTCAAGGCACACTGAACAACTTCGGACAAAGTATCTGTTCATGACATAGGGTCTAGCGTTGTGTACCCATCTTCGCTTCTGTTTGTGTTCAAAAGTTACAAAAGTTGTACCCTATCTGCATAAAACGTTTTATTAGCCCGTGCTCAAGGAAAGGAAGTGAAATAGTCTCAAATGTTCATTTTGCGCATATTTAGCCATAAATCCTCAGATCTTTGTAAAATAAAAGATTATTTTTAGATGTCAACAATGAATTCTATGTAAACTAAAGCCATGCAACTCTTGCAAAGCAATCGTGGTATCATTAGCGTAAAGTTGAATTAAGTGCATTGCATCTATTAGTGGTATTTGTCCTCAGTATTTGAAGTAACTATCCCCTATAGATTTTTAATAATGGTCATGTCAGCTCTGTCAAGTGGTGGATGAGAGTGTTATAACATACAACAGATGTGTGTTTGTATTAGGTCAAGAACATCTTCAGAATATCCTTTGGTCATTTATCATATTCTCACATTAACGATACAGTAACGATATCACGCTATGACATGAGTAAACTGTCATGGAGTGTTTTTTCATGTTGTGTTCCTGTCATGAATACTTAACAGAAAAGAGTCAGCTCTTTTATGATGCCCTTTTTTTAAGAGATGGTTTGGATTTTGCTTTTCGGCTTGAATTATTTAATCCCTTTGGGAAGACAATTAGCAGGCCCAACAAAACAGGGCTTCGTTCAAGCTAACAAGGTGCGTATTCAGAATTCTAATTCTGGGGATCGGTTTCATTGTTGCAACCCCACTTGGTGCACTATTGGTTTATCTGCTTATGAATATCTGATAGCATGCAGTGCAACTTTGAAAGTCATATTAGAATTCAAAATGCAGATTATGTGTTGTGGGGGGAAGAACAGAGACACAAAGTACAAGGTTACACAGTTGGAGGTAAATAAAGTGAAGGAAACTTACTCATACAGGGCAGCTCAAAGCTCGGCACTGACATCAAAACAACCCCTTGTTATTTGATGTGGTGGGCATATTCTTAAATCTTTAAGATACACAATAAAATCAACATTAAACAGTCAAAAAATCTATTCTTATTTCATTGTTACGCTACTGGCGATGCCGTTGCTGTAGCGTTGGGTTTTGTCATGGCAGCCATCCACTGCAGTCTAACTGTTGCATTGCTGCGTGCTCAGACTCTACCAAGCTCATTGGCATTCTGGTCGCACGTGTGACTGTGTGTGTATGTGGGAGGGAACGAGAGGGAGTGTGTGTGTGCGTAACAGTGTATAAGTGAGTGAGACAGTGATGTACAGAAAGTGAGAGAATAACAGAGGAATTATGCATATACTGTATATCTGTCTTTAATCCATCACAGCCTCTTGAATCCTCCTCATCACAGCTTGCTCCCGACATCACATTTTCAGCTCACTTTCTCCTCGGCTTCATCCCCCCCTTGTCCTTTCCGACATATTTCCACCATCCTCCTCTTTTGTCCCTGTATCCTCATTCTCAGACTGATCCTTTAGGGCGTCTGTGTCCTCTCTGGGTCTCAGTGGGATTCCTGCCAGTAACTTTTCTATCCATGTCGACCCCACATGGACAAATGTTCTTACTCAAATCCTGTTTTTTTTTCTTTTTCAGTTGCTGTGCATAGATGTCCAGAAGCGCATTTCCTGTCTAGCTGAGCTCCAGGATCTTGACTACATGTCAGATGTCAACTGGGACGCTGTGCTCAGCAAACTGCTTCCTCCAGGCTTTATTCCCAATGTGAGTACAAGGGAGACTCTAAATGTTACCTTAGTGAGATGCCCGTAAAAAGGCTCATGTTTAAGCAGAAAACCTGTCTGACAGATGCCATATTTCAATGTTACATCTTTTTTATTACATAAGGAATTTGCTCATTTTCTAATTTGACAAAATTTCCCGAAGTAAGTGAAAAAAATAGATGTAGCCAGAACTCCCCACCCTTCATCTTATCTTTTCGAGCTGTAGACACCACCCCCTGCTGGGCTGAGCTCGGTCTCCCACTGAGTGTGTCGACTGAAGAAAAATAAGCAGCTTGTGTGTGTTAATGGCACTTAGTGTAGACGCAGACAAAGGCAGGGAAAGCCTCTGCATGCATACCTGCAGCTCTACAGGTGGTCCCTGTATCATTATGATGAGTTTGGTGAAGATGCGTGTAAAAATAATTTGAGTAGAAAGTGGAGCTGAATGTTGCAATCTAGTTATGTAATCTAGTGACCGTTTTTTTTCTAGGGATGATCCGAGCGACTCGTTTCCTAGATTTAACGGAAATTTAAATTCAGACTGACCGACAAGTCTAAATGTAAGAAAATACTTATTTACCAAGTCAGTACAGTTTATTTAAAGTAATCTGCGGGTAAACAATATCATTCCCTTTGACGGTGTGGCTAATGTTAGCGCTGCTAGCGACACCAGCTTTCAACCCGCCTTGCCAATTAACATCCATATGTCAGTTTGTTTCAGTGGAAATGGCAGTTTAACCTGATACAGCCTTCACAGCTTTTCATCACAATTTTTCAAGATCTAAACACTACCAGGCATGCTGCTCGTATCTGACGCTATCTGTTCACTGTGCTTGTTTACATTGAGGCAGTAGAGGGTTAGGGCTGTGTTGCAGTTTGAGCAAAACATTGGACTGGCATCATTGGCCAATTTACAAACATCCTTAAAATTCATTTAATCAACAAGTAATTCTTCTGCCAACTAGCAAGAATGACATCGTTTAACCTTTTAGTCAGCTAGTTGCGCACATCCCTATACATTTAACAGTAAGTGAACTTAATTACTTGATCTCGGCTCAAAGCTGCTGGTAACTATTCCAGATAAGAAACCACCCACAATCCGATTAAAAGCCTTTTCATGAGTCCAGCTCCTACCTGCTGTCAACAAAAGAAAATGTGATAATAGAAGTATGCAAGTAAGTAGGCAGTGGCAGAAAGCACATACTAGTGTCAGAAATCAGAAGGAAGTAAGCAGGAAACAGTTTTAATTCAGCTGAAAAGTGCTGTCGTTATAGTAAAAATTTCTCGCTGATGTTCCACACCACAGGAGCCATGCAGTTACAGTAGCACATCCTGTATGCGCCATATCAATGAGCCTCCATGCATTCAGTTAGCAATGAATGTAATCTGACCTCCATTCTCCATCCTCTCGTTTATTTTGGGGAAATAAAGACCTTAAGTTTCAGAAGATCAATCATACAGCAAAAGAATAATGATGACTCTGCAACTAAGGACAATAGATAATGTTTATGCTTCAGCATAAAACCCTGCTAAGGTCTGACTGGTTTTAAAGCGATGATAATGAAATTGAATAGTCCTTAGATATTTATCACAGATTAAATTATATCAGTGCATTAACTTGATTTCTATTTGGCCAAATACTTCTTGTTATTTCCGGGTATTTTTCATGAAGTGAAAGAATCTGACTTGTTTATACGACTGAAGGGAGTAAAGAGCTATGCAGCAGATAAACAAAGGCCAAATGTCACCACCCCCTCCCACTTGCATTGCAACAGCTGTTTACATGCACAACACCCAACCAGGATAATTTAAAAACCCAATCATATATAAGATATTGGACAAGATAGATCCCAAGTCTTCCTGCATGCGCTATCAAACCCCTACAGATGTTCCAAAACGGTACATAAATGATACATTCACATAGTTGAAAAGGTCATCTGAGCAAATTCCCATAACACTATCACATAACACTAAGAAAAGCAGCATTTTCTCTGCCTTTTCTGCTTTAGTAAAGAACTTTATACTATAGCTGTCTCTGTTGGTCATTCATATCAACACAATGACAAAATAATTTACTGAGCTGAATACATGCAGATGGATAACTCTCACAAGTGAATAGAGGACTCAATGACTTAATCTAATTCTCAGTCTATAGTGCCTGCAGAGCAGCGGGTATCCCCCAGCGGCCTGGCTGGCACAGCAGAGGAAAAACACAGAGGATCGATGGGGAATTGACAGTGTCTCTCTATCTAATTATAGGCCTATCCTCTTCCTTTAGTCCCTCACAGACAGGACACTCTCAGCAATTATATTTTGTTCCCCAACTTCCCTGAGTTCTCCCTGCTGTGTCTCTCCGCTGGTTTGCTGCTGTTTGAGCCTAGATCCTTCCTGTTGAAGTCAAGTGTGGATTTCATCATTCTGTATTGTTTTGTATTGTATTGTATTATATTGCATTGAATTGTATAAACACCAAATTAAACAATTGAACAGCGTTGGATGCAAATGTCAGGCTGGGTTTTTATTCTTCCTAGTTGATGTTAACAAATTAAAAATACATTTCCAACATTGGTGGAAAAACCTTTTTTTTTCAATTTTTCAACAATTTTTTTTCACACCCCTTCAACATGATGGTATAATTGAAACAATTCATTTTTCTTTTAAATTTAACTCACGCCTTGAGATCAACAGAACAAACATGGAAAACAAAAGATGACACGTGTAAATACTAACATAGTAATGGCAAATATGAATACAATTTGACACTCAAAACATAAATGACTTGTTTGTTTCTTAAATATACGCCTGCATGTTTCTGTTTCTCCACAGAGGCGAAGACTAAACTGTGACCCGACGTTTGAACTGGAAGAAATGATCCTGGAGTCCAAACCACTTCACAAGAAGAAGAAACGGCTAGCAAGGAAAACCAAGGACCAGGGATCTGATGGGTCCCCACAGGTACGGCTTTCAAATCAAAAAAAGACTACAATAATTACACATCAAGAAGGATGAAAACTTTGGCTCCAAAAAGAGACACCTGCAACTTCAATCCAAAAGCAAAGGTTTTCTGTTTGAGAGACACAACTTAACATAGCTGCAACATTTACGGATGATTCATAATTTAGAAACTTTGCCTTTTTTTTCACAACCACTCAAATCAATCTCAGCCTATTTTTAGTTTGGTTTATCCTGGCTCCAGTGCATCAAACAATTCTCTTAAAGGTGTTGTTCTCTCAGTGTTCATCATTATTCATTAAAGAAAGCTGACCGCTGCTTCCATTTGGCCCAGTTACAGTTGACAAGTTGCTCCTTAGTTTGTCTTTTAAGTGTGTCTGGAGCGCTATTAGGAATATTGAGGACACATTTTAGAGCTCTGTCCTCGCTCACCTTCATCAGAACAAATGGCCGTCTGACTGCTAAGCGTATTGGGGAAGGCAATGAATGCAATCACCTCACTCTTGTTTTTTCAGTCCTTCACTCCGTTCCACATAAATCATCCGTTGTCCTCTGGGTGTTTATACCAAAACAGAGTGAAAAGCGCTGAAAGGTTAATTTGATCACTCTGTTAAATGAGAGTTGTGGGAGAAATACGAGCACATATAGATTACACATGCATATAAACACATCCATATAAAACAACTGTGATTATATTTGTGACTTGCTGCAGCAGTGGCACCTAGACAGGCAGGGTGGTCTGTTTTTGTTTCATGATTCACAATGGCTAAAAAAATATTTCTTTGTGTGTTTCCTTGCATGTGAAGTATAAAATATGACCTCTGCTGTCGTTAGCTTGAAGGACAAAATGTGACAAGAAAAGTTGCGAAAATGTGTTTGTGCAAGGGCTTCCTCATTTGGGCACTTTGAACCGTTTAAGTGATTGAGATAGGTTTGTTATTCCTTTAGAAAACCTCTTTCATTTTATGTGGATTAAAGGCACAGTATGTGATTACCACCACCAGGGGGCTCTCAATCACAACAATAATAAAAGATGACGTTGAGGCTATTTGCTCTTTTCCTAGTTTCTTAAGATGTTTCTTGTGATGTTTCTGACATGCTGTTTTTTGTTTTTTTTTAAATGAAATATTTTCCATAAGTGTTTTGTGTTCAATATTAAGGCGAGATAACTTTCCCTTAAGGAAAATCTTGTGAAATACGTCTATATCAGGCATTTATTGCACTTCTGTTGCTTCACATCATCCTTGTCTCTACGATTTCAGAAGGCCCTGAGAATGAAAGATTTATTGTGCTTTCTCAGAAGTTACACAAGGACGTTCAAAGGTCTGCAGTCACTTGCAAACACAACCTAAGCAAATAAATAAATAAACACGGCTTTGCAAATAAGCTTGAAGTGAGCATAAAATATCTTTCATTTTATTTCCATGTGAAGGAATGACTTACAGATATCTGGAGAAGTTTTATTGTACCCTTTAAACAACACAACGTCTGATCTACTACACTGGGAACTGTTGGTGACATATACAGTAGTTTCTCATAAATGTGTCCCCAAATGTAAACCAGAAGTGATAAAATGGTGTTGGTGTCACTCCACACCTGTCCTGTGTCAATCCTGATTCTCCCCCAGTATATCAGAGCATAAGAGATACAGTGAAAGTTTTAACTATTATTTAAGCATTCAACACTAAAACAATTTTCTGCTAGTTTTACTGCCGCAAGAGTGGTTTCAGTTAAGTACCTTTGAACACTAAGTCAGCACTGTTTATCTGAAGACGTGTACTTACAGTAGAGGAGTAAATTGATCAGCACAATGGGCTGAGTGCCACACTGTATTCTGGGCTTCTGTCCAGTTTCTGAATCTTTAGACATCCCGCTGAGACAGTAAAAGCTCAGAGATCTCGCATTGAACACTGACCTCAAATCAAACGGGTCATTTTATTAGCCTGCTTTCATCAGTAAGCTGAAACTTGCACTGCACAAACAGCATTCACGCACACACAACCTGGTCCATCGCGCACACAAAATACACAACCCCCATTTCATTACGTAGTCAACCAATTTGGACCCTCTCCCACTCTTTGCACATTGAAAGTGTTTACGTGACTCTTTCTAGAAGGGAAGCGATTTGTGTGGTGTAGACTTCACATACCTTACCAGTTCTCAATACGAAGTCACAGCTGGCCCAAAGTGCACCATGCTTTATGAAAGCTGACAGCTGCTTGTGGAGACCTGCCTGTGTGAATATATCAGTAATTTTTCACCGTGCTGCCAGACAACATTCGTCATCCCCCCAGCACATCCAGACAAAGAGTCCTATTCTAATAGAGTAATGATATCAGCCTCTCAGGGAAACGTTTGTTATGTTTATGGCATAAGAGAAAGTTAAGCTACTAGTACTAAGGGAAACCAAAAGTAAATCAGTTAAACGGTTTTGATCATTTGTGTTTAAAATTCTCCGCTTAGATCACCCACTTGTACTGGTATCAAGAAGGTAACAGAGGAGAAATGGAGCTGGTCCAAAACCAGAGGAAGAAAAGTTCAGCTTTAAGTATTATGATATATTAAATGTAATATTGAGGTCGTGAAACATTTACTTAAGGTTTTATGCAGATCCATATTTTTTAAAAGCAAGAATGTTTAACTTAGTCCTGAAAATAATAGACAGAAGATTACTGAAAGTCCTGTTTAACTTCTTCTCTCAGCAACTAGAGTCTGGGGGGATTTTACATCCCATTCTTGATTTGACTAAAACCTCTTAGTCCCTTCATTTTGGTGTAGAAAGACAGATTTAATTGTATAAATGAAAACTGTTCTGAAATTAGAAGAGATTTATTTTAAATTCTGTGATTGTATCTTAACATTTGCTCCAGGCCTTCTATTTGTCTGACTTTATTGGTTTCTTGATTGTGTTGCCCTTTGTACCCTCTATTTATTTACCCATCCTGCCCTAACAAACTTATTTGTCTTTCACCATTAACAATAGTGAGTGGTATCCAGCCATTCAGCTAAAACAACTCTTCACTCTAAAATTTGTAAAATAGAAGTTTAATTATCCAAAATGACTCCGAAGATCAACCATCGACCTCAAATATCAACTGCCAAATACGGCTTTCTTTCCTTCCTTTTCCAAATCATTTGTTTAACATGCTTGGATTCATGTGCTTTCTATCAGAAAGAAAACTGCTTTACCGTCTAAAAATATGTTTGTGTTTATGCAAAGCTTTTCCAAAACCATTAACCATATACCTGAGGACACTTGTGATGGATGCATGAAAGAGAGAGCCTCAGAAAGAGGGTGATGTGTATGTGTGTGTGTGTGAGAGAGAGAGAGAGAGAGAGAGAGAGAGAGAGAGAGAGAGAGAGAGAAAGAGACAGAGAGAGAAAGAGACAGAGAGAGAGAGAGACAGAGAGAGAGAGAGAGAGAGAGAGAGACAGAGAGAGAAAGAGAGAGACAGAGAGAGAAAGAGAGAGAGAGAGACAGAGAGAGAGAGAGGTCTGTGCAGCGTTTCTGAAGCAGATCAATATTAAATGAAGAAAAGCTAGTTGCTCTAATGTCTGTCCCATCCGGCTTCTTACTCATTACCATGAGGCTGCTCTGTATTTTCTTTGCATATTTCTCCTGTCCCTCCTCATTTCCTTCTCCTCTCTGACCTTATTTCTCCTTCTTTATCCTCAAAGTCCTTCCACTATTTTGCCTTCATGTCACCCCCCCACCCCTCCCCATTCAGCATAAGTCCCCTTCCTCATCCATTTCTCTAGCTCCTCTTTTATCTCTGCCTCTGCCTCCCTGTCACTGCTACGCTCATAATGTAGCATAAAATGGGCTCAATTAAATCACAGATAATGTAGAGCAGAAAATTCAACTTGTGCTGTGTGAACAATACAAATTGGCAGACCGCCTCACGCACGCAGAAACGCACACATCACTCAAAACTGTTGACGGAGACAAAGTGCAGCAGAGTTGATTTGTCTATACGCATACATGTGTGTCTCTCTGAATTACCAAACTGTTATAAATTAAATGTAGAAAAGGAAACACTGTCAAGAATTAAGGATATTTTAATTCAGCTTTTCTGAATCGCTATCAATAAATATTAGGTCTGGTTAAAAATATTGATTCATCAATGCATTGCAATTTCTTCTCCCCAATTCAATATTGATTCAGGGAAATACTGAGATCGATTATTTCTGTTGTTATGACACCCAGTATTACTCTCCTCAAGAAAAATGGAAATTTGATTTTTAAAAGTTAAATGTGCTGCATAGAAGTATTGGGAAACAAACTTCATAACTATTAGACTCGGGTAAAGCATTGGGACACTGGAAGACACAGAGGGCAGCATGTGTACCGTAGGGATCCAGCTCCGGGTGTGCTACTAATTAAAAGAACAGAATCAGAATTCGTCTACAGTTTAGAACAGAAACCACAAGCAGTCAAACAGTTAGCTCAGAAAGAATAACTTGTAATTCATAGATTTTTCCACTGAACCACAATAGTTTTCTTCAGGCATGTCAGCATTTGGTGTAATAGTGTGGCTTTATTTTGAAAACACTATAGTGTGCTTACCGTTTTTTACCCAGTATCCTTTTGTATAAGAATTAAGAATGTTTCTAATCACCAGGGATACTTCATCCAGAGTCTACATAAGCAATCACGTTTTTTAAAACATAAATAAAACAGGTTACCTCAGCTTCAGACACACAGTAAGCCTGGATAAGGACAATGAGAAATGTCCCTGCCAGGCTCCCGTCCAGCAGAGCACTCCCTGTTGGTTTGACTCATTAAATGGAAAGTTTAATCTAGCAGTTGGAGCAATTAGCTTCTGAACTGTCTTTTTAACAGCGTCAAATAAAGAGAGAGAGCAGGAGAGAAGAGAGAGAGAAATAAGTGCTGAAGTGTTTACAGTTAAAACATTACGTTACCGCTCTTCCTTTCCTTCTTCCAGCTACATCTTTACTTCCTTCTTTCATTTCCTCCCTTCTTTCCTATTATCCTTCTCATTTTATTGAGTTCCTTTCTTGTCCGCCTTCATCCTTATTCATTACCGTATTTGCCTCTTCCCTTCCTTCTGGTCCAATTTAAATCTGCCCTTTCAATTTTAACCCATGACCTCTTGCAAGCTTGTTATCTTCCTCAAATCTTTACTGTATTTCCTTTCACTTCCCACTGGTTTTCTTCTTAAATTCTGTCATTCACATCCATTTTTTCATTAATTCCTTTCCTTTTTTTTTTTTTTAAATGTGTCCTTCTTAATTTTGTGTAACCTTACTTCCTCCCTTATTCCCTTTACTTGTTTAATATTTCTACTCTATTTCTGCCCTTCTTCAACCAACCCTTCCTTCCTTCCTTACTTTCAAAAAGGCAGAAGTTATTTCCTTCTGACTCTCAATGATCAAGAGACGGTAGCAAAAAGATATTAGAATTATAGAATCAGTACAAAACGTCACATCAGCACTAAGAAAGCCTAGTTGATTCACCAGGAGAGAAAAGTGTCTCCAGTACAGATAGAGGACGTTTCTCAGTTCTTATGAAAGTCAATTCAGTGTGTTTTGTAATTTTCTTAAGGCTCCTGTTTTCATATTGGGCAACATCCATCAGTTTGGGAAGATTTATCTAAAGTCCCTTTGAGCCCTTCACAAATTGCCTTTATAATTTCAGTGCCACGTTAGGTGAAGAAACCTTGGCAGAGTTTAGTTGCAAGAACAGTGACATAACTCCCAACTCGTGCTTTGATTTTACTTATTAAAGATTACATGTGGTGGGAATGAAACACTTTGAAGACTTTGATCTATATCAGCAGATAGAAACAGAGCAAAGGAAGATTTGTGTATTAGCTCTTGGATGAAAGTGATCAGAAGGAGGTTTGAAACAGATTTTAGCACAACGACTCGTATTGCATGCAGGTGAACTCTTTACCCCTCCCTATGGTAAATAACTTTGTGTTAGACGCTACAACTTATTCTAAGTCAATCCATGCTAGTCAACCATTGATATGGGCTAAAATATGGGCTTTTTTTCTTTTACTGTTTTGGAATTTTAAAGACAACAAACAGCCTTCTTTTACAGCCTTTGGGTTTGAGAAGGGCCTATCCGGATTTACGTCACTTTGGGAAAAGCCAAGACGGAAGCAAACACATTTATTATATGGCCAATGGAGTCAAAACGTGTGGAATCATGTGATGAAAGTTAATTTGATCCAGCTATAGGGTCACTTGTAGATCAAGGGTTAGGGTTAAAACATATTGGGGACTGTAGAGGTGATAGTATGAAAGTCAAGGTAAAGAGTCAAGAAAAGGCCTTTCCATATAAAATGCTTCTCTAGCTCTGCCATAGCTACCTCAAGAGTTTAGTTTACCTGAACATCGCAATCTCTAGCTTCTTCAGCTTGTGTTCAGCCTCCTCCTTCAACTGACAACCAATCACCATATTGTAAACCAAAAAAATGAATGTCCTAGTTCTTTAAATTAAGATTAAAAAAGACAAGAGAAACCCCAAATGTACTTTGACATTAAGTAGGTCATGAGTAAGGCTTTATATGAAGGTTATGTGAGGTATCGTCATTCCTTCTAAAATCTGATAATATGTCATCATGACAGCATAAGGGAGAGCCTCCGTCATAATGGGTTTCTTATCAGTCACTTTTCTTCGTTATAAAATCCATCACTGATGTTTGATAAATGGCACACAGTAGCCTTGCTCTGTCTTTGTCTGCTCATATATGATGCTTTGTCCTTTTTTGGGGTAATATGCACCAACCCACACAAGGACACCTTATTGTCTCCGTATCCGTATCTGTATTTGCTACTGCTTCTTCCATGGTAATTAGCCATTTTCCTCTGTGATACTGCTGTGACTGAATCCCTTACCCTAAACCCAAAATCAAGAAACTTTCTCTCTTTTTCACTTGAAATTTACATAAATGCTAATCATAGACCTGTTCCTTCTTTTGCTCTCACGCGTGCATGGATAACGACAACACGGTGCACATTGTCACCTTGCGTTCCCTCCCTTCATAATTTAATATGTATACACACAGCTTCCTCTTCCTTGTCTCCCTCTCTTTCCCTCTATATTTTCCTGCTCTAATTTAGTAGATGGCTTTTTGTGCGCCAGTGGCTGTTCCCCTGCTGTGACAGCACCTGTACATAGCCTCTCTGCTGGGCCGTGTGACTGACAGCTCTGGGCAGGGAGTCAGCCATTTTTATCCTGAGGAGGCATCCAAGAGCCTGCGTGTGTTTGGAGTTTTAAGGGCTGATCTGACTGGAGGGTACTGTGGGGAAGCAGCATGCAACTAAACTTGTGTGCGTTGTTTCATGTGAGACTGTCCTTGAGGACGAGGAGGAAAGAGTCTGAGCAAATTCTAATGAACGAGTATTTTGTTGGTCCAAATTGGATAGTATCTTTTAGAATTGGGTGTTGTGTACACAATGTAGGTAACATTGGTTGTTGTTGGAAACACAAGCAAATGAACACACGTGTGTTCTTGGCTGTCTGCTAGTTTGTCCCTGTCACACAAACACACACACAAAGACAGACACACAGAGCACCGTGTCATAATCATGATGTAGCTTCATGATCATCTATCTATTCACGGCCTCCTTGGGAGAGTGAGAAAGCACCTTTCTACTTGTACTGGCACAACAGTGATTGTTGCAAGAACAGCCTGGCACGGCAGAGCCGGGTGTTCTCTCTCGTGATTAAGTGGGCAAAAATATGTATGAGTACATGGAGCAGCTGGACACATCAGAGCACAAGTGTCCTCTAAAGTTTTCTCTTCTGGCATCTTATTAAAAATAAAAAAACATGATCAGAGGTAGATTGTAGTGCCTTTGTTTTGAAGTTATTATTTCTCTAAGCAGTCACACCGAAACAGATTTATAAAGGTGATTGATTGGGAATAAAAATGACTTATGATCAACCAAAACTGTATTCACAGAAATGTCAGCAGTTGTTTTTTTTTTTTTTACATTGCTGTCTCTCTTCCAGAATGGTCAACTGCAGCAGCGTTTGGATAATGTCCAGAGAGACTTCATTGTCTTCAACAGAGAAAAGTAAGGACCCTTCATTTCCTACCCTCCAGATTCTGCACAACTAATTTATAAAATTGTTTTTGAAGAATTTTAATGATAGTGTTAACCTTGAAAGAACATCACAACTGTCAGTGCTGAGAAAGTATTCAACATTCTTTGGGTCAAAAGAACATAAAATGGTCTACAAAATATACTCTCTATGGTGACTAATGGTGTTTTGTAGACCATATAGAAGCCCTGTTTTCTTTTTTTAAAGATAGTTTCCATTGCATGCTGGTAAAAGCATGTAGGACAGTGTTAAAGGACAGTATCCAGCTATTTATGACTAATGATATGGCCTTCTGTGGGTGTTGGATTCAAGCAGATTCATAGCGATTGGCAGAGGTAGCGTCCCCAAAATTACACCATATTCTGATTATGAGAATTAGTCACTTATGAAAGTTAATCCAAAAATGAGGACATTAAAGGCAAGTCCAAGATAACACTGACCGCTGATTTGCATGAGAACATTATAAAATAGGTGCAATGTTTACTAAATGGGGAAATGGGCAGCCGAGACAAAAATAGAACAGAAAAAAAGACAGATTATATTTCAAACACAAAATGAAGGGCCAATTACAGCCCTTTGTTATCGGTCTCCATCATTGCTTTAGCTTAGCGTTTTCTAGAATAGACCCAGGAGGCGTGCCAATACACTAGTTTCTCAAATAGTTACGAAAACATTTGGGAATGAGACGTTTTCTTGTAAATGGCTGATAAAGTTGTCAAGCGTTTCAGATGCTCCAGCTGAATATTTAATTGTATTTGGGTACAGTTTACTATGGACAGAATAAGGAAGATCTGTCCACGGGAACACAGAACTCAGATCAACAGATGCAGAGGGAGAACTTAACCCTCTTTTAGGAAGTCGTTACTCCACAACATATTTACATTGGGTATATTTGTTTTTTGCTATATGAGAAAAAGATGACAAAAATGCCATCCACATTAGCTTCTATTGGTCAGTATGACTCTGGGCATCACTTTGTTTCGAGAGTACACAAGCAGAATGTGAGAAGAAAGAAATCTCTGATGTGGACTATGATTCATTATGTTTCTAATAGAGCTGTCTTCTTCCTGCTCTTTCAAGTGCTGCCATCTGTTCTGAGACTAATATGAGGTGTTCTTTACTCAACAGGTCTAAGAAAGCAGTGGTGGACTCAGAGTCCTCTGAACTATCCACGAGTGAGAAGAACAAGGCAATAGAGGATGGAGAGAACAACAATGTTGAACCGGCTGCCTTCTTATCAGGATAGTCCTCCTGACTCCAGATCCCCTCTTAGTCCTGTGTCACTTGCACCTTTCCACAGCTTGTAGATCTGACATTAACACCCAGGCACTTCCTGTTCTATCAGCACGGGCACTCAGAATCAGTCTTCAGCATTCATGCTACCATCTATACAAACACAAATACATAATGTGCTTGTGCTTCACTGTTCACAAAAAAAAACACATGATCACGAGCTGCAGAACTGCAGGAGAGAGATGGACTCCTAAAAGCAACAGCCATGCCCTCAGCCCAGCTTTCTGCTTTTCTTGTCATTACGAACATACTCATATCATCACTCCTGGACATCACTCTGGTGCTCTCAAGTCTGCTCGACCTCAACAAAGGACAACATGCAGACCTGAAGAGGAAGACACCCCCTTGCCAATAAAGAAGCAATGCCACACCTGCCCCGCTCTAGCAGGAAATCAAGTCTGATGTGGTCATCTAATGCTGAAAGCTGGATGTGCTGCTGCTGCTTTGGACTGGGCATTCAGATTTAAATCTCAGCTAGCTAAGCCTTCCTGGATAATCATTTAAATACAGCAATGATTTTCCAGCGCTACAGGAACAAGAATTAATACAAGGAATGCATTGGTTTGTCCTATGTGGTTTGACCAGAGATTGGAGCATGACACTAAACAGTACAAAACATTAAAATGGAGAGATAATTTTAAAAAAAAGGTACAACGAGGCCTTCGTTTTTAAGACAGCAACCACAGATTCCTCTAACATATAAAATACAGAGATGAACTGTAGGCTTGAGCATGAATGACTCACTTTATAATAACAGCAGATACTTGGTTGCAATGGTCATTATGCATAGCTTTGCTAGTCAATCTAACAGAGAGTAGGATTACATTAGTTGGTACGCTGGCCCAGCTGCATCAGCTGCTGATAGAGGCAAAAGTTTTCTTCATTTGTGTATGCTTTAAATGACTACTGAGCCAATACAACATTTGAAATGCAGTTAAAAATAATGGATTCAATGTTAAGCTTGATTGTCTATTCTTTACCTTCTGTGTTTCTAGGAGATGCTTGTTTAAGGTTAAAAAAGGAAGTAGACAAATGCTGATTAAACACTGACTATTTAGTTGAACTTTTGCCTTTATCTTCAAATGACAAATTGGGCCTTGAAATCAACGTTTATAACTACGAAAACATCGAAAAATTGTACATGGTAGATGTTATATGTTCTGCACTGAACCTTGCTTTGCACATGCTTCTTCATCTACTGTAGCATTTATGCACAGACAGACAAAAAAAATCTAATACTGTGAGTGAAGACATATTCCCTGAGAGATTGTTTTATAGACAAGGATTAAGCTGAGTTCCAGATAAGATTAATTTTTGAGTTACTGTCTGCATTCAAATTTGTTTTTATCCATTTATTTGAATGTTCTTCCCCTTTTTGTTGGATTCAACCAATGACAAAAGATAAGTCTGTCAATTTGTAATTTCAATTAGTTCAACAACACTGCAACAAAAAAACTGGATTCGACCGATTGGTGGAAATATTCTTAATACAGATATTTGAAATAATGAAAGTAATGAATAGATACCAGACACAGCAATAACCTTCATTCTTACTGTAGACTTGTTTTCGCGTCATGTCAAAGATATCACACTTGCCTCTCAGTTTTCAGCCTTACAACACCAAATGGAACACAACTGTTTCCCTTCAACTTCACCTGTAGGTAAAGTAAACTTTTTCACAAACTGTGAGTAAATGTGATTTCTATTAACGTTTAGTCATTCTATTGATCTTAAACTCTTCTACCTACAACATGACTCAACACTTTACGCATATGATACTTATTATATTTAAGACATATTTCACTCTTTTCAGTTCATAATTGTTGGCACTTTATATTTAAAGTTGATACGATGTTTTGACTTACCTTTGTGTTGTTGCTGTTGTTGTTGTTGTTGTTGTTGTCGTTGATGTAATTTTACACATCCAAAGGAGGTTTCCTGTATAAGTTATAAGATATAGTGAGATAGTTACGTAGATGGACTTTATCCTGGGGAAAAAATAATACTTTAATTATCTTGTACTTGTTCAAGCAAAAAAAAAAAAAGGCTTTTCCAGTTAGATAGTGGAAGTTATCAGATGAAGCAGATTCAAACTCGAAAAAAAGTAAACAAGACAATAATCGTTGACATTTTACCCAGGTATTGCCATTTTCAACAAAGTCTCTATTTAAAACAATTATTTAGACAGGGAACAGAGTTGTTCCACACCTGTGATTTTTATTCCTATTACTGTTTTGTTGTCCATGAGTTGTCACTGTGTGTTCATTGTATTCAAATGTGATGGAGTTGCAAACTATTGAGGTGTGCCTTAAATAATGACTTTCTTTTTCTGAAACAATCTGACTATTGTGTGGTCTTTATTTCATTTTATTTCTTGACAAATGACTGTATTTTTTTATTGAGGATAAGTATTTTTTTTAATTTCTTGTAATAGCTTTTATGAAAATCAATGATATTAACAAAGGAGAAAAAATAAGATGTTTACATTTCAGGTCTTCAGCCCTGAATTTGCCTCAACTTGGCAAATGTTACTGTATAAATGGCTTCGATTGCCTACTACAATTTTAAATATCATGCTGCCCCCTAGTGTTTGCTGCAATTAAGTGCAGTTAGTGACAAACAGAAGGGTGGATAGACTTGATATGAACACTGATGTTAAAACGCAGAAAAAAAATGTCCATTCCTCGTGGACAAGCATCTAACACATTTTATTAAAAGAGACAGAAGGAGAAACAAAAAACATTTCTCATCTCCATCTTAATTGTCTGCCAAAACATGAATCTGGTCGAATCTGAAAAGTGTTGGCAAGAATATTCTCTCCCACTCTTTCTATGTGTCTCGGGGCATTCCTGGATAATGCATCCTCAGCATGAGTCATCATCCATATGCTTTACTTATTCTCTCTCTCTCTCTCTCTCTCTCTCTCTCTCTCTCTGACTCTCACCCAGACATCTCCACACTTAACAGATCTGTCTACAATTTCCCTAGGTCATCCAGAAGTCACAGTCACTTCTCTCCTCCTCAGTGGGCTCTGCTGAGGCAGCATTTAATTACAGCATTAACGGCCGATCTGAAGGGGAGTTCAGTTGATAAATGCTTCCTCAATCTGCCTGGAAACACCACAGATAAGAGCAGCAAACCACAGTACACACAGGCAAAGCTTTAAGATAATTCTTACATTAACTAGAACATGACGATACTCACTCATATACAGTACCCTAACTAGTTATTTTAAGTGAGTCAGAGACACTTTCCAAAAGCTTGTACCTCACAAACAAGATAAAACCACACACACCACTGCTGTTTGGATTGAGGTTGCTGACTCAGCCTTTTTGTAAACAACTAGTCTGCATTTAACGTTCATCATCTCTCCCATCTGACTGATTCGTATGATTTCATAAGACATCAACCCACTGTTTAATAATGCACCCGGGGCCTTGCAGTGATTTGCAGGAGGAGCTGAGATGATAATTTGATGGCTACTGCTTTTACCCCAGCATCATCATAACTTCAAATAACAATAATATATTCCAAATAGAATCACTCTGTCATAAAGGAGCGGCCCTGCTGATAAAACATAGGACCGAATAGGAAAGGTAACAGTGGTTTAACTCTGTTTACTGCTGAAGTTCTGACCTCCAAGATTACGATGTTGCATGTGTGAGAAATGTAGGCCTATATGTAAAAATGTATACAGTAGGCCTATAGAATTCGCGTAGGCAGCGTCCACAGCCAAATTCAATTGAAATGAAAACTCTATTAAGGAAATTCAGTAGGCTATACCTAAAAAGACCCAGATAATGCTTAAATAGCCTAGCTTAACTATTCTCAGCCGCCAAAAACAGCTGTATTATAGTAGGCCTAAGAATAATTTACCTTTTCTGCTGGTGGGAAGCGCCAAGACTGGCATTTTGTGTTAGTCAAGTTGCTCATTAGTCACTTCTGTAATATTTACAGTCTATGGTCACTTCACAGATGTTTGATATATGAACCACTCTTAGAACATGTCAACATGTCAGCACCAGGTTAGTACTACAATGATCAACTTTACAGTAGCCTATAAGCCTATTGCAGGGGTGGGCAACAGGCGGCCCGGGGGCCACATGCGGCCCCCCATCAACCCTCAACGTGGCCCTCGGGTGAATTTTTTACATATCAATTAATTGGAAACATGAAGAAAAACATGACAAAATCTTGCCATGAAATCATGAAAACCAGAAATATGTCCATAATAATATTTGATCACTGGTATATGTTGAGTTAAATTTGAGAGATTATTGACTGTAATCGTTTTTGTGTCCTACAAGTTGGCCCCCTGGCAGTGAGAATTAAATGAATGTGGCCCTTGCTGTGACCGAAGTTGCCCATCCCTGGCCTATTGTATTGTTCTACACTCATTAGCAGTGAAGTGCTGCTCACTGTTACTCCTGGTGGCCGTTAGATTAATTACTTCAAAGAGAAGCAGTAGGCCTACTGTATAGGCTACTGCCCTTTGGCTCCATTAAAAAGAGAATTGAATTCCCTTTGAAGATTAGATCCATATAGGCCTACATTTGTGCCTTTTCATTAGTCTTATATCTGACTCTTTTCTCACCTGCCTTCGAAAAAGGCATAGTTTGGACTCTCCTCTGTTGTTTGGATTATGTGTGCATGTTGCTCTTTAAGTTAAAAACCTCTCAAGCCTGTCTGAATTTCTTACACAGTAAGTCACAGGCACTACAGTACTGTCTACACCAGGGATGGGCAACTACGTTCACAGCAAGGGCCACATTCATTTAATTCTCACTGCCAGAGGGCCAACTTGTAGGATACAAAAAAGATTACAGTCAATTATGTCTCAAATTTAACTCACCATATACCAGTGATCAAATATGATTATTGACATTCTTCTGGTTTTCATGATTTCATGGCAGATTTTGTCATGTTTTCTTTCCCAGTTTCTAATTGATATGTAAAAATTGACCTGAGGGCCGCATGTGGCCCCCGGGCCGCTAGTTGCCCACCCCTGGTCTACACATTGGACTGTTTATGGTCTAATCAGAGGGACTGCAATTTAATGGAAACGGTGTTGAAGGCAGTGCTTGTTTTATAGGATCTGTGTGTACTGTATTTTGAAGGACTATTAACTTAAACAAAGTTTATATCTTTTTTAAATGCATTGCTTACATAAAGGCAAATTGATTAAGTCATTTACAATATTTTTTTCAGTTTGTAAAAATGTTCTAGTGTTATATTGTAGCTGTTTTTAAATGTAGAGAGACTTTCTACAGAAACATTGATTTATTCAGGGGGGGGCCCTTCATGCATACATTATGATTCTTCATTTGATAATTGAAATGAGAGTTCTTAGTCAATCAGTTGCAACTCATGTTTATTCAGGAAACAAATCATACCTCCACAACACACCCTAACTTTTTACCTGCCATCTCTGGGTTTTGATACAACAGTAAAAAAAAAATCAACAACAAAAAAACAACAAAGGTTGTCAAACTAACATAAATACAACAAACCACCACTTGCATCTGCCTTTCAGTCTGCCACACCACTGCCAAAAAATAAAAAACGCCATCTCCTTCCCTCCCTCCCCAGCAGCGGGACAGCGACAAAAAAAGCTTCCCTTACTGCACCACAATCCGCTTCCTTATGGGAAAACAGCAGTGCCATAAAAAAGAGCTCTTTAACACCCTAAACACAATCAGATCCGGAGTTATTAAGGTAAACTTAAGTGGACCCACAGCTATTTCAGGCTGACCTTGAATTAGTATTGGTCAGGATTGCATTAGACGGCTGTGTTAGCATGACACAGGTATGATGGTGTTCCTCTTCTCCTAAAATGAGAGCCCAGTTTGTAATGGAAAAGTAAAGCTGAAGGTGAAGTTCTGTTATCTTTAAGCAGGTTTTGTTACTTATTCATTTCATTGCATCTGATTTTTCTTGTTTTTTTCTCCCGTTGTTTTCTTCCAACTGCTAAGCTCTTCATTACAAGTTAGGGCTGAGCTACAAGGGACGGTTTATTGTTACTTTTTTTTTTTTTATCTTTTCCCCTTTTCAAGATGACATTTCAGGATGCAATAAGCTAGAAGCAAATGCAAAGGACAGTTTCACACAATGTTCTTCTTTGTAGAGCCATGATGGATGCAGAAAAACTAAACAAACCTTTCAGGGAAAAGCAAACAATTGCTAAGTTTTTAACATCAATATTTATGCAATCAATACATCATGGGGAAGGTATTCATCAAACATTGCGAGGAGTCTAGAGCAAAAAGGACCATGGATTACGTCACCCATGTTTTTTGTGGTCCATGCAGCTCTATTATCTGAATGCATTTCTCCTGAAAGATTTGATAAATACCTTGAACTTGTTCCAGTAAACCCAAACAGGCTGCAACAACATCAGTCACAAAGCTACATTACATTTACCATACATACAATGCCACCTAGTGCTAATCAATGGTGCTGCATGATATTACATGGCTAATGTGGGATCTAGTGTTAATGTTTTACTGACTAGGGGAGAAAGCAGGCGACTGAAAAGGGGGGTGACATTGAAAGCTGACCAGGATGAAAGAACCGCAGCAACAGTCAGAGAAGAAGTATCTGTTTTCCTTTGAGGAGACAGTTAGTTTTTGTTTTCTGATTGAATGTGATGGCATGAGTTTTACTGGTATAATTTCCCATGACCAAAGCACCACGTGACGAGTTTTAACTGCATTTTTTTGGTGTTTTCTATACTGGTAAAAAGTGAGACTACAACTTGTTAAGTGTAAAGTGCTCTGATGGTAACTTTAGTACCAATTCAAAACCACCATCCCAGGAAAAGGGATACTGTTCTCATCCGAGCACGGTAGCATTGTGACAGGTAAGGCATGAGGATTCAGTGTTTTGCTCTTTTTTAACGTTGAACTAATCATGGTCCTATGCATCTCCTCCTCCTCCTCCTCCTCCTCCTCCTCCTCCCACACCCCCCCACCCCCTTCCCTTTCCCCTTTCCCTCCCACACTCCCTCCCACCCTTAATCCTGCACTCTGGCTGCTGTCCTTTGTCTGGATGCATCCCCTCCTCCAGCTCTTGCTGTTTAACTGAGGGATGTGATGTTGGAACGACCACCGGGGGGCACTACAATACGCCGGCCAGCAGGCCTGATGGGGATGTCGTCTGGGGTGGGGGGACCTGGAAGGAGATAAAATGAAAGCAGGATGAAGCAAGTTACATGGAAAAAGAGAATTCAAGGCAGAGGGATGGAGGGAAAAAAGGGGGATGGAGGCCAAAGTGGAAAACAGGGGAAAAAAATGATTTCTACTGTATTTTCTTGTTTTTGTAGACGACATAATAACAAGAAAAAAAGGGCCATTTTTATAACAACAGCCTGTAGAAAATACAGCCTAATCGAATGTCACAATGTCAACAAAAGCAATTAGTGCTGCTGAACCATGAAGCACGGGGTTTCCAAAGAACGAGAGCCAGGGGCTTCTGCTGTAACAAATTAGGACATAAATGGAAAGCAGAATGATGTCAGACTAGGCTACGCTGCATCTTAGCAAACACTCCTTCCCATCGCCTGCCAGACAAGTAAATCCACTCAGCATGTGGTAGTCCTGGAACACCTAAAATAGATAGGGGACTGACTCATTGTTAAAGTAATGTACACACTCATACAGGAATACACACAATCCCAAACACACAAAACTATTAAAAACCTGGGAAGGTCAGGAGCAGCCTCCCTCCCCGCTAAAGTTATGTACTTAAATGTCGAAATTCTTTCCAGGAGAGGTCACCTTCTTTTTTTAATCGATGATGTATCATGCTTGTAAAGACAGGTTGCCCAACACAGCCAAAGGGCTAAAAATCATTCTGCGAGCATCTCTTTAAAATGACTTAGTCCATTGATGACCCTATAGGGACAATTCAGGTCATAAAATGACCTCATTCAGGCACTGTAATGAATTACTAACATAACATTATAAATGTATTTTAATGATTTCTTTTCACCAAAAGGCTTTTAATGCAGCTGTACAAGCAAAGCTAGCCTTGCTTCATTTGTCCGTACCTGATGGTATATAAAAAGGTTTTGAAGTGGGCTATTTCACTCATTCAGTAGTTTTTCTATCTATTGTTAAACATAGAAATGCATACTTTCTCAAAAACATTTCACCCCAGGTTGCTTAAGGTAGATGAGATTTGAAACATTATGTTTATTGAAATATCCTACGTCTCTTGTGAGGTTCAGCATGAAGTAATTTGCCTACACTTTTAAGTTGCCATAGGAAATGCTACAGTTCACTTCACTTTTTTTTAAACTTTGACCCTTTATAAGATGTATTTGTAAAAGCCTGCTATATACATTAACAAAGACAGCCAAGACTGTAGTGAGTACAGCTGTGATGTGTCCAGGTTCCAGTGGGTTGCTGTCATTGAATTAACATGAATACATTAAGTCTGTCAGGGAGGACATGGCGACCAGCATCAGTGAGAGATACAGTATGTTTTCTCTGTTTGACATGAAACAGTGGAAACACTGACTGTCTGCTTTCAAGACAAAAACGACATCTAATCCAATCAAATGCTGACCTTAAATATGAGCACCATTAGACTGTCATTCAGCAGCTCTGCATGACTGAACAGATGTTGAATGTCAGTACATGGTGGTGTGATCTCTCTCGCTAACAGATAGGCTGTATGAATAACCGCGTCCAGATGCCTGAAGCAGACACATTGTGTGCTGCACATTTTAGGCCTAAAGCCAAAAATAAAATTCCAGCGTGACTCAAAAGTATACACGAAATTTCCGACTGTAACTTGACGTTATAAAGCGGATGTAGGTTGAGGTCACAGTGCCCTAAAGTGTAATCAAAAGAGGACTGAAATACTGTGCAACAGGGATTCAACAGGAGGATTAATGGTGCATTTTTTAGAGGTGAGTCATTTCACACACTGCTGAACTCTTTGAGCAAGAGAGATGAGATTTTGAATGATGAAAAAACTTGTCATATATATTTATATTGTTTGCATGCTTGACATAAATTAGACAAGTCTGACCCTTTGTTTAAAACATGCAGAAATTATAATAGAATAAACCATGTGCAAACAATGAAACAATGTCGTATTTAGGTACGCATATGCATGATGGATGAATATGGGTCGAAAAGCAGAGTTTCAGATTATGTTACTGACTTCATGTCAAACCAAACTTAAACAAAATAGCACACCAGATTGTGATTGTGTACAAAAATTATATGCAATGCTGTCTACTTGTTGACCCACTAAACCTGAAAGGATCCAACTTTCTGACTTGCATAAACAGAATAATTGCCATATAAACTGTGCATGAACCCTTTTAAAGAGCAGCATGAAACAAGGCAGACAAATGCATGCCATACTGTGCACATCATACAGGGTGAAGCATAGCTAGTGAGGGAATATTAGGTCACGCAACAGGCGTGTGACTTATCACCACAGACTTCTGAGTGCATCTTTAATGGGGAGCAACATCATGATGAAAAAGTCACATGTTTGTCACATGCATGGAGCTCAGTAGTGTTGGATTGACTGATGCACATGCATGCTTCTTTGATGCTTCTACGTACAACATGTAGCAAATACAGACCAAACACATGAGAGGGTTACAGCAGAGCAGGGGGCTTATTAGGAAGATGTCCTCACCGCAGGGTGCAGGGTTACCTGTTAGACTAAATCCAGACTGGTGCAGGTTTCTGACAGGCTGTTTGGTGGGAGAGGTACGCGCAGAGGCAGAGGGGGTTCCACCACGGGACATGGAGAACTCAGACACAGGGCCGTCATACATTCCCCTGGGTACTGCCCTCAGGACGGCCAGCTACAGGAAGCGAAATCAGAGCAGAGAAGAAGAATAAGAAAAAGAAAAAGAAGAGGAAGAAAGGATGGGTAATAAAACAAAGACAAACCGTGTTGTATCTCAAAAGATTTGATGCAACCAAGTCAACACCTGTTTTGCGTTACATGGTTGTTTGTGCAACTGTTTGTCTATGAATAATTTATGCATTTTTCAGAGAGCCCGTTTTCCTGCTGAGAGCTGTTTCCAGATTTACACATCCACACAGGAAAAAAAAACAAACACATCCAGTAAGCAAACACTTTTTACACACTGGAGCAGAAAATGCCAAACAGTGCTTTCAGATCAGATTTAGTTTAATGCGAGCAATGAAAAAGCCTTTGTCTGTCTGTCAGTCTGTTCTTCTGCCTGCCTGTCTGTGGCGTGACACAGAGGAATCTTGGAAGCTCTGTCAGGAGTTAAAAAGAGACATCTGCGAGTGAAGAAAGCATAACAGTAACTGCTACCAAGATAAACAGCCCACTGTTGCTGCAGCTCCATTTTCTCATCAGCAGCCAGCAGCAAATTAGGAAATGGTCTAACAATGACATTTTTTGGCCACTGAGTAAGAGAAGAGAGTGCATGAACTGTTTTGAGTTAAAGCTGGTGAACATCAAATGGTTTGATGGGGTCAACTCTTAATACTGAGAAAAAATTAGATGGAACTTTTTCTATTTATTTCTGGCTTTTAAGTGTATAAGGCACCATTTGTGGCACTCCTAATCCTGAAATGTCTTTGCTTTCTTCATTTCTTTTTCAACTTATTGTCACACTTATTTTCTGAGGTGATTGATGCAAATTGTCTCAATAACATAACGCTTTCAATTTACAATTTTATTCTCCCTCTCTTCTACTTATTTTTTTGCAAAACACTGTTTCTGAATAATTATATCTAATACATGTCAACAGTTTGAAGATTCAGAAACATGTGTTCCATATAAAAAATAAAAAAAACACTCAAGTTTTTGTGCTTGATGTCTTGCTTGAAATGAATGCGTAACACAACGTATGTGTACCAGGAGAGTTTTCTTCCGTATCCTCTGGCTTCCAAATGACTTCTTTCTTGTGAAAGTTGCAATTCTAAGTCAGATTCATCATCTCGGATTGTACAGATGTATACATTTGTGATTGAGTTTAACTTTAGACATTGGTAACATTTTTCTCTGTGTGGTAGGTCTCTCTCTCTCTCTGTCTCTCTCTCTCTTACAAAGCCTTGACTCCCCTCACTGCGTGGACCTTTAACATCACAGTGCCGAAGTGAAGCCAGAACCCCCTGGATGAACCTATGAGGCTGCAGATAGACTTATACAGTGCCTTTCCCCACATCCCACTTCACTGCCTCAATCTTTTTTGTGCCCGTCTTTTTTCTCCACCATTGTAAATCACATAATTCATCACAATGTAAAACCCTTTCTCTCCTTCCTTTGGCCTACCTTTATTTTCTTCACACTTAGTAAGTGTGATAATGCACCAAATGCAGCAAATCTTCTCCTTTGCGCTGCAGGCCTTCTTGTGTATTTTAAGCATTCATCATTTATCAGAGATTACGGTAAGCAAACAGCGACTAAAGCATTACAAGTGCAGTACACTTCTCTTTCAGGTTGCATACTTTCCTCATCTGTTCAAGAAATGCATCACAGTGTACAATCTACAAGATCAGAGCGTGCTATTCAAACTCAGTTATTTGACAACTGCCAGATGTTTGAGTAAGGTAATACTAGTAGGAAGAACAGTAATTCCTGTAATTACCTGCTTCCTGGCCTTAACCCTCTTGTAGGCAAAGTCAGGGTAAGGAGTGCAGGGAATGAAGCGACCCACACCGGAGATGACGTGCAGGTTCCCATCTTCCAGAACAATCTTCCCCTGGCAGATCACCACCTGAGGGGCTCCACGCAGCTCCATGCCCTCAAAGACGTTGTACTCAGCAGCCTAAAGCAAAAATATAAGATTATTATTATTACTACTTACTTATGAAGGGCTTACATTAGGTTGTGTCATCAGAAAACATGAGAGACTAACTGTAATGACAATGAATAGGTTGATCAATCAGATCAAACAGGACAAACTTTTAGAAATAACACATCTGGACAGAATGGACATGAATGGTTTTTTTTCCAAGATTTATTTTTGCATTATGCATTTATTGAAGAGATAGGACAGTGGATAAAGTTGTAAGTCAGGGTCAGAGTGAGGGGCAAACACATGTGGGAGAGGTGCTGCATGTCGGATTTGGGCCGCCCGCTTCGAGGAGTACAGCCTCTGTCCATGGGGCGCACACCCTAACCACTCGTCCACCAGTGCCCAACATGTATGGTTGTTTAAATCGGTTAAATGACCACTTGAATCCCACAACAACTTACAAACATTTACAGTGTGACATGTTTTTATTAAGTGTGTACCATTTTCATTTTAAGGGAAATATTTGTTCAGAAAAAAATCTCATCAGAAGATCAGAGAAAACATCACAGCAAATTAAGTCAAATGTGGACAAACAGTTTGGACTTAGACTGAGTTTGATTCATTTAGAATCATGTCAGACTTTCAATCAAAGTGTCATGGGGCTTCAGGCTTATTTTGACTTTGATGATTTAATCATGTTACTTTTTATCAAGGAAAATTAAATTCTGAGCTACGGATGGCATGTGGGAGAGGACAACAGGGGGAGCTGTAGCAGGACAGATGAAGACACATCTTCTTAATCCCACACTCTCTGTCTCCCACTCTTTATCATTCATCACCATGTTTCTTACACATGTCTGTGTGGCATGTACAAACAGCTGCCATCATCCAGCTGCTGTTTCATGCCTCCATTGTACCCCTCAGTATCCTAACATTTCTCTCCCCAGATATCTGTCTCCTACATTTAATTGTGTCTTATTCTATGTTTTTTGTTTTTTTTTAACCGTCTCTCTTTGCCATTTCTGGTTGATTTTCACAATCCATTATGCCAACTTTCTTTTCTTGACTTGTTTGTGATCTCTGATGGTTCCCTCCCCTCATTCCATTGTTGCTGATTTCCTCTGCACACGGCTCTGTTTTCTTGCTGCCGTCCAAATCCAGGCCAGAACAGGACATAACTAAGACCCACTGCATGCCAAACATGATGTCATGACTAAGCCGAGTGTGTCTCATTGTGTGTGTGCGTGTGTGTGTGTTTTGCTGCCTGTTTTTGTCTATGTGTCTCAATATCCTCAGCGTATCTATGTATTTTTATGTTGACAACAACAAGAAATTCAGACCAGATGTTGGCTCACTGATAAGAAACTAAAGACACAGAACAGTTAGAGTCATGTTTATTCTATAGGGGATTACATTCCCAAGAACAGTATGCCCACTCCCATTTCCCCTGGCATCAGGCTATCCATTAAGGTAGTTTTATTAGAACTAGGAGCTTTCATGTTCTAGTCTTTTGTGTTTTTTCTTTTTGAGAGGAAGACAAGCAGGAAATGAAAGGTTGACTTCATTATGTAACGGATCCTCAGCGGATGTACTCCACATTCAGGTTAGGCATATTTTTAGTCCTGTTCTCTCCGTCTCTTTCCATTTCACCATGTAGACACAGAGCAATGTTTTGTTTTAATCATTCCTATGACCAACTCATTTACATTTTGAGTAAATCAATTGTTCTCCAACACATGTGTTTCTGTATAAGCGGGATTTACAGTAGGCTAGTGAAGCTACAATTTTCTAGGCAGGCACCTCCTCCGCTGCTCTGTGGTCTGTTTTGGATCTTCTGATATCTGTGCGATCATAGAAACATCAGAACTCACATGTGCTGAGTGAACTGGGAACTATGTACTGTGTGTGCATGTGTGTGTGTGTGTGTGTCTGAGACCATTGAGGGAACAAGGAAAGATGAAAAAAACTACTGCAGCTGGATAATACGTTTCCACGTGTTTTACTACTTTCCTCTGAAGAAGTTATTGGATCACATGTCCTCAATAATGGCCCAGATTTTGAATGAATACAATGACTTGATGGAACTCTTATCACAAATAACCAGGAGATTAACTTACTTTTTCACTATGATTTTTTTTTTTTAAGAGGAGTAGGGGACAGCAGCCGTTTGCAGCTATTGCTCTTCGGGTCAAATTTTACAAGAAGAAAATGTTGTGTTGCTCAAGCTGTGTGTAACTGATGGCACTTTCAAACAACCTCAGAATCTGAGTAAACAAAAAGCAAACTGAATTGTAGAGGAGTACAGAGTTCATTCTGGTCATGTTGCACCACTTACTTTCTGATAGCAGGTTTAGTGACAACTTTCCAATCTCCTCATCTTACAAAAGAGCTGTTTTCTAGTTATGAGATGAGCTGTTTTTTTCCTAAGAGTGATGCATACAGAATGCTCCAAATCTCAGAGCTTTGTAAAACTATTTGAAATATGACTATTTACCATACTTCAAACCCACTCTGGTCGTCCAATCATGAAAATATTTTTGGACGATCTGCTGTGGAGAACGTGATACATAGGAAGGAAATACCTTATAATTATACAGCACATAGTTTCCCTGTTGATTTACTGTACGAGGGCATTTTGCATTATGTTAGCTTATAGTATGTATTTGGCTGTATTTGTAAAAACCCTGTGTATTTGAATACTCCACATTGTTTGAGGTTTTCTGGATTAAACGTGGCTCTGCTTTACATTGATAGCTGGTCCCGTGGTGAGTTCACTGTGAGTCATATTAAAAGTGAACATCCACTGGGACTTCATTTCCGTTCAGAGGAACTCAGAGAGCTCTCTGGAAGCTGCTCAAAAATGTGAGCTCTCTCACTTTCTCTCTCTCTCTTTTCCTCTGCAAACATCCACACACTGAAGTAAACGCTGACCTCATATACTGCTTGATTCCTTCCCTAAAAGTCAGGGACTTTTCAACTGAAATCTGGAACTACTCCCCAGCTCTAACATGTAAGAACTTATGGATTAACAAATTGAGTTTAAAAAAACACATAATACAAAATCAAATCAAATCATAATTGGCATGTGGACGCCATACGCACCGAGTTGTGTGTCTTGGCAGTGATGGTGCTGATGGAGTCCGTGTCCCAGATGACCAGGTCGGCATCAGAGCCCACGGCGATCCGGCCCTTACGAGGGTAAAGGTTGAGAATCTTCGCTGCATTGGTGCTGGTGACCGCCACAAACATGTTCTCATCCATTTTACCCGTAGTCTAGGTGGAAAATGAGACAAAACAGGGAATATTTAGCTTTTGTCAAAGCCTAGTGGCTGGTTACTGGATACACATTAAGCTGGTCTAAAAGTATTTTTCTTTACAGATGTTAAAGTTTATAGCTTTAAGTAGATAATAAGACACCAAGATACAACTGATTCATATGAATTCAATTTTGATCAGTGTTTCCCCTATATATATATATATATATATATATATTTTTTTTTTTAATATATATATTTTTTTATTTATATATATTTTTGGGGCTTTTTGTGACTTTATTGTAGGGATATGATAGTGGATAGAGTCGGAAATCAGGGAAAGAAGTCATTTAAGGATACCTTTCCGATAGAACAAGACAGCTGTCATTAAAAGTAACGCATGAACACCAAGATTCCTTCAAGTGTTTGTGTCGTCGTCCGTCTGTCCGCACCCCCAACCCCCCCAAAGCTGTAAACCTAGGGGAAACACTGTTGATGATACGGTAATTTTTTCATTGTGTGTTATTTTGGTGCATTTTTCTTGATCCAATTGATAGAATTTTGTTTTATAAATGACCTGATGTCAGACACTTTGAGAAAGCTGCTAAAGATGTATCCATATTTCTCTTCTGGCCAAAAGGTACACGAGGTGAGAAAGTGGAACATTTTCCTGTCTGTGGGAAGGTTGAGAGCTGGATTAGCTCTGCCGAGCATAATGAGAAGAAGCAGCTGAAATAGCTTCTCACTGCTCTGTACAAAATTGCATGTAGCTGCTGGTAGATTCAGGTTATGTTTTTAAGAGCCAGTCACACTTGAGAATTTGCAGCACTCCACAACTGTCTACTTTCTCTATATGTCTGTTAGCGACACACCGGTGCTGTGATAACTAGAAGGAAGGAAAAAAAATGAGGGCAGTGTGCTGTAACCAAGGGTGAAGGAAAGGACAGATGTGGCGATATAAGAAGGAGAGGATAGAGGAAGGCAGAGACGATGACAACAAGACACTGAGATAAAACTGAACAGAGGAGGAGGGGAGAGAGAAAATGAGAGTAGAAGCTGGGGAGAGGATTGTAGGGAAAGGAAGTGACAACCAGATAAAAGAAGGGAGACAGAGAACAAGACAGTCCTAGAAAAAATATTAAAAATAGGAAGAGCAGAGATTAGAAAGGTGTAGATTAGACTGCAGAGACGTCAAAGTTCAAAAGAATGGAGATGACAAAGCAGAAGGGTTAGACGGTTTTGATTTTCCTCAGGGAAGAAAGTTGGAAAGACAGTGACTCTAGATAAAAAAAAAACTGTTTAAAATACTCCTTCATATCCCTCTTACTATTTTTTGTTTTTGTCAGCCTCAGCCCTCTAAAGTTTGACAATATGTAGTCCTCACCACAGCTTTATCCCAGATAAGAGTCATCCTCTCCTCCACTCCGTTGACCCCTTCAGGGATCTGAGTGAAGTCATCCTTGCCGATGGCCTTCTGGGCCACACTGAAGGTACAGTGAGCACTGCCAGTCACGCTCAGGTCTCCACTGGAAGAAAAACAAAAGATGAAAATACAGAGTTGAACTGGAATTAATATATTAGTAAAGCACATTCTCTGTAACGTTTAGTTCCGCAATCACAACAGAAGCTTTGTATTTACTGCATCAAATGAGGCACAGGAGCAAGACAAACGGCAGAACAGTATTTACTTATGATGTCTCATGCCAGAGTTTGTTCTTCCAGTTCTAACCACGACAAAAATGTTCCCGCTTCCAATAAACACTCATAACTCAATTATCGTACGAAGTCAACCAGAATCAAAAGGATGTCAATAAGAAGTAAAGCCAATGTCTTAAACATGCATTGTGTTGTGTTGATCAGGCCCGACATTGTTATGTCAGATGATATATCATCATGTGAAATAGTATTACTAAACAGGTCAAGAACCTAACTGGAAGAAGAGGCTGTGATACGTACCTGGACAGCAGTGTGTTCAGATAGTCTGGAGTGGTTGGATCAGGGCTAAGAGGAGGTGATGTTACAAAAGAAGCTGCCTTGGCCCAGTTCTTGCTCCAGTAATGTGTCCCATCAGTCCCCAGGCTGGCTGTGATTGGCTCCCCAAACACAACATTTCCTGGGAAAGAAACAACATTAACAATCTGTTGAAGTATCAAATGTATCAGGTGTATTAAATTGATTTGTATCAGTGGTTTTTGGCATTGACGAAAGAATGCGTTCCACCAGTCAAGACTGATTAATTTTTCAGCAGGTTAATCCTGCTAAAAGCGTTGATAATTCATCTGAGTGTTGGCAGAAGTGGAACATTACCTAATCTCTGGAAAGCAAAACATCACCCTTGGCAATCAAAAAATTTTCAGTTTGGCTCAAATGTCATTGAGCTTGTTCTTGCATGATCAGCGAGGGTTGAGTCCATCACAAAAAGCATGAGAATAGATCCAAACAAAGATATCAAGCTCATACAGAGTCTAAATGACTGCAATAGGAAGTCATTCTAAGAACAACACCGCCTGCTCAAGCATTATGTGGCCCTCAAGACGTCCAAACATGCATTCTTCTTATCCCACTCCATTCTAAAATTGTATGTTTCACCATCCATCACAGCCAGGCAGCCCCCATGTTCACCTCAGCTCCTTTTCTGAAACTGTGAGGGAAAACCATCCCTCACAGTGACAACTGAACCACTGCAAAGACCGAAGTGAACGTCAAAATTCCTGTGGGAATAGCATTTTTTTCATGATGTGGAGCAGAGCCAAAGTCTGCTTCTATTTGTAGGTTCAGGAAAGACACGGAAATCATTTTAAAATGGCACAGGTGCAGCGCACTTGTTTGAATGTGCAGGCCAAACATCTCACAAATCAGCAGGAAGATGGAACCCAAGAGCAGAATTGGAAAAAAAAAATTAACCAGTAGTTGGAAATTGTGCAAAGTCTAATGAATTCTTTAGATGTAATCTTTTTGGAATGACTATTGTTTTGAAGATTTTTTTTTCCTGATTTCAGAGCAAAGATACACAAATACAACTCTTTAAAAACCATAAATGGAATAAATGGTAAATCGACTTTTCTAGTCTTCTGACAACTCAACGTGCTTTTACAAGGCATGTCACTGCTACCCATTAACACCCATCCACACACTGTTGGCAGAGGTTGCGATGTAAAGTGACTATCAGAAGTAATCCCATTCATATACACGTATAAGCCACTGACATAGCAGGCACAATTTTGGGTCAAGTGCCCAAGGACACATTGGACATGAGGTTGGTAGAGTCGTTGTCTCTCAACCGGAAGGTCGAGGGTTCGATCCCGAGCTGGGCAACATGTCCGGTGTGTCCTTGGGCAAGACACTTAACCCCAAATTGCTCCTTCTGCTTCGGTGGGGGTGTATGAATGTGATTAGTTACTTCTGATTGATGATAATACAAGGCTACATCTACCATCAGTGTGTGAATGGGTAGGTGTGACATGCAGTGTAAAAGCTGCATGTCACACAGCGCTGAGTAGTCGGAAGACTAGAAAAGTGCTATATAAGCTCAAGTCTCAACTCAAGCTGGGGATCAAACCCTCAACCTTCCGGTTGAGAGACGACCGACTCGAACAACTGAGTTACATCCTCCCCGTAGTGTATGGCTTTTTAAATGGAGCAACGTGTGTTTTAAGGCTTACATAATGCAGTGATAGTTATCCTTTAATCTACCACTACCTTACTAATAAAACAGAATCTTCCAAAATACTTAAATCTCCAAGAGATAAAATGGTCATTGCCAGAAGAGGAAAATCAAGCATACATAAAGCAACATTGAGCATTTAGACTAAGAGCTTTTGTATTAAATATAAGACAAAGAGCATTGACTCTAAACAATTTCTAATACAATGATGATGTTGATGAGTCATTGCTCGTAGTAAAGAAGCTGCTTTTCTTTGAAACCTTTTGTAATGTCATGTAAAATAATACCACGCATTTTTGCAATTTACCCTCATGTACTTGTTTCACGTTGTCTTTTAATGAACATAGCACTAAATGAATATTCCCAAATATTGAAAATATTCTGTATTGTGGCGTGAGGTATGAATTCAAAGTACTCTTTACCTTTTTTCCGGGCCTGTGAGATGATGTCAGCAGCGCTCTTGCTCATGACCCGGGTCACATACAGAGGACAATTGGTTTGGCTTGCGATGGTGATGGCACGAAACACGGCCTCCGCCTCCAGCTGCAGAAGGGACATGGACATTGTGGTTGCCTTATGAACGGTTTTACCATTAGGATTTTCTCAAGCACACTTTAAATATCCTAACTCTAATATCTTAACCACATCACACAAGCTATTCACAGAGATGTATTATTTTCAAGATTCACGTCCTAAAAAGGAAGCTTACAATCATACACTGGGAAGGTTAATCCAGTTGCTTTGAGTTAGGATTAGGTTCCACATTTAGTTGGCATCAAGTGCTAATTTAATTTAGTTTTCTTAATGGGAGAGTTTGATGTTTTGCTACTATAGTTTCCCTAGATTGTCTCTAATTAACTTGTTGTATAGTCTGTAAACTGACGTAGACATTTGAGCTGGTAACTGTGTTCTACCTAGGTCCAAGAGCCAATAAACAAAAACCAAACAGGACGCCAGATACGGATAAACCAGTCATCCAACTCAGCTCAATTAAATTACATTACTAAGCCTTTGACTCTTCTGAATCAACTAAACTGCATGACACTATGAGCCTGGTGGGAAAACTGCACCACAGAGTGGAAAATTCCTGACAGATGTGTTGCATGCATCTAATCGTGCCGTTTGTTAAGGAAACATTAGCACATTGTCAAATTGGGGGAGCCAGAAAAGGTTCACTCAAAGCCTCTAATGTGTCTGAAACCACATGAGCATGAGCACAACGTGTGTGTGTGTGTGTGTGTGTGTGTGTGTGTGTGTGTGTGTGTGTGTGTGTGTGTGTGTGTGTGTGTGTGTGTGTGTGTGTGTGTGTGTGTGTGACGACCACTCCCGAACTGCATCAGATCAGAGCACCCTCAAAATCAGCTGTTTTTTTCTGGTAAACTATTGTGTGGCCAAAACAAACACCCATGTGGTGGTTGTAGAGAGTGTTTTATAGGTAAACACTATCGACATTTTTAGGATCAGGTTATGTTTTGGTGATTTTCACTGGATCTAGCTTGGACCACTTGGCAATGGGCAGAAGTCCAGCCTAGGTTTTATTAGGACCACTATGTCACTATATATGGTATCATCAGGACACCATCAGGAAGGAGAATATCCAATTAGAACTTCTCTTTTGTAAGGGTATTTTATCATAAAAGGGAATAAAGTAACAATAATACAATAAAAACTCTGAGTTTGCATTTAAATTAATGAAGTTTGCTATTTCAGTTCTGAAATGTTCATTATAACATGTATAAATCTTAAAGATAGTTAGAGGTATCCTCTATGTATACGGCATTTGTGTGTTGTACCTCTTCTGGCCTGCTCAGCACGTGCCCCTCTGGTCCAGTGATACCCATCTGCAGCATGCGGGCCTGTTCCTATGGATAAAAAAACAACACACATAAAGGAGACTGTTAGCTGCTTAGCTCACAGATGCAGGGTAACTTTTTGGTATTCAGTGGTCTGAGTGTGCGGGCTGATGTAAGCTGTTGGTCACACTCCAAGATGATATTCTGTTTCTGCTTCTTTCTGTCTGTGTGGAGGATAAATGCCGGGCTGTTGTCATGTGGGTCAGGCCACACACGAAGACTGTGGGAATCCCCGGGCGGGGTTAGGGTCTTTGTGTTCATGTAGACATACCTCCCCCCCAAAAAAAGTTCTGGCAGAACTGTTGTGTCTGTTGTAAATGTAGAGGTGACCCCTGCAGGGGGACACTTGGACAGAGTTACTGTGCGGTCATAAAGAATGCTTTAGCAAAATTACAAGTGTTAAAGGAAAATTGCAGTACTTTCAACCTGGGTTAAACCTTTCTGACTTTGCTGCCGAGCTGTAGTTTGACTTTCTGGATATACATGAAAGAGCAAGCTCAGACAATTATCTCTGTGACTGATCAAGAGTAGCGTGGAAAATAGCATCATGGATTAGCTACTGTAGCTAGCTTTTTAGAAATCTACTAAGCAGCCTAGTGAATACCTTTAGTGGATGCTAGCAACAGTAGCTTATCCGTGTAGCTAGTTTCTATGCTGCAAACATGGCAACTACATAACAAGAGAAAGGAAAGAATGTCATTTAAGTTAGCTAAGCAAACTGGCAGGTTATCAAGAGAAATATAGTGAGGAAAAATGTGAGTCACCTTTTACTGGTTGCCAAGACTATATCTGTTCTCATTAAACCACACAGACAAGAAGAAGAATGGAGGCAGAGGCAGCGAAACTTATAACTCAGATAAACCTTTTTTTCTATTTTGCCTGAGAAGAGAAACCTGTTGAGGACATACTTGGAAAATGTAAACTTGTTTGCAAATGAGTTTATCCAGCTGTGTTACCACAAAATGCTAATTTACCGCTCCTATTATCATTGCTGCATTGTAGGAGACCCTCCAAGAGATGAACTGGCAGAGTCTGGCTATAGACCAAACAGTCACCCATCTCCATATGAAAAGCAACAGTGATTACAACCCTTACAAGGAAAGAAAAGCAAAAACTCATCAAGTTGACTTGGTTTCGTGTTTATTTGGAAAGATTAAGACAGCTCATGCTGCTTCCCGTTTCTGTTTGGCTATTAGTTTTCTGTATTTCCACATAAAAGGTATTAAGATATCAAGACGAATAAGGTCCATGTTTATGAAAAAGCTGTTTTTCAAATCACAAAACACAAACTCATTAATGAGGCATAATCTTGGGAGGAGAAAATGATGGAGAAAAGGTATTCTGAACATCACTGGTTCACTGTGATTGTCGCCTGGGTGAAGGGAATTTTCAGGGCAATTAAAACAACGCTTTTGATATAAAAGATAAGCTTGTAAAAAGTCCTTTACAAACCAAAAAAGAATGTAATTGTTAAAACGTTTTTTTTATGCCTTTATTTAGAGAAAGGAGAGTGGATACAGTCAGAAATCAGGGCAAGCGAGAGTTGGGAATGACATGGGGGAAAGGAGTCACTAGGCGCATTAACCACTAGACTACCGGCAGCCCTGATTGAAAAAAAAAGTGTTGATCCTTCTTTTATCTTATCAAGGAATTAATACCCATATTTAAGGCCAGCTATGGCTCAGTGGTGAGTCGCCTCTCGTGAGGTTGCCAGTTGAAACGTCCTTGGACAAGACACTAAACCCCAAGTTTCAAACGCATAGCCATGAGTGTATGAATGTATGTAATGTATGGGGTTAAGTATCTTGTCCAAGGACACATCGGACATGTGGCTGCAAGAGCTGGGGCTCGAACAACCAACCTCTCGGTCGACAGACGACCGACTCTATCACTGAACCATATTTGTCTGTATACACCATTTATCCATTTGTCAAAATTCCTCTGGTTGTCACTTGGGTTACACAGTGACCTCCAGCACTAACAGCAGGTATGATATACAGGTTTAATGAGGCCTGAGTTACCTCAGGAGCTCTAAAGTAAACTCAAGTCATGACATTTCTGGTCTCAAAACTGATGAAAATCAGACTCCCTCAAAGCCCGTGTTTAAGAGCCCTGGGTGGGAGGGCTGGGATTTGGAATTAATCAAATCCAAGACACACACACACACACAAACTCACCAACAGTGACAGATTCCAGGCTTTGTCTGGAGCTCTGACTAATACCAACCCTCTCAATCCAGCGACTATTACGTTTCATTCATTTTAATTTGTCCACAGTGCAGCACCACCCTGTGTTTACTACACCCACACAGAACAGTCTAACATGAAACACATTCTCCTCTTCATCACTGACAGCGTGTTTAGTCTGTAGGTAGTACAGATGATCAGCGATAAGACCGTAAAGATGATCTTAAGTTAAATAAATCAAGTGAAACTCAAACAGATCACAGAGTTGGACTCGGAACAAGTATTCAAAGAGAGGGGGTGAGAGAATATGAGGCAGGGGAGAAATGGAGAAGAAATGAATCAGTCTGTTTATTTCTCTTTATTTTTTACCTCAGCAATGATCTCTCCATTTTCAGCATGGACCTGAGCGATGCCTCCCCTCTCTGCCAGGAAGGTGAAGATCTCATATAGCTATGGAGGAGGAAGACACAGAATGAAGTGAAATAAAAGTGATGTGGTTTTTTTATATTTAAACTCCCGCCTGGTTTGTTTACACAGGAATGAAACACTACGTTTAATCCCAGGGGTCGACCTCAAGAAGAAGGCCTCAATTTTCATGACGTCCCCCACAACATGCTGCAATTATTGTGTGTGGTCTCCCGATGAGGTTAAGCCCAATGTGGGATGATGACCTCCACTTGTTGTCGTTACGTTGCTGCACCACAGTTTCTCAGTGAGCTGCATGACATCAGTTTTTCAAGCTGGACTATTTCAGTTGCCTCATGTGCTCCTCTGACTGACCGAATTAGCCACGGCTGTATGAGGAACATAAAGAATCCTGCCTCACACTGTCTGGATTTACGCTTTGTTTTTCTACTTTCACCAGCTGGACCTACAGTACTCACCCTTTACATCACTGACGGTTAGTTACACAAGAACATGAACAGAGAAAACTTCTTTTTTTACTAGCACTTTAAAACTAGAGCTGGAAACTTTGAGTATTACATCAAGTGCCAGCAAAAGGAATAATCCCGTACTTTTTTCAGACAGTGTGGCACAAATAAGAGCCAAACCAAATGTCCCAATGCCGTGTTTTCATGCTTGTTGACTTTATAAGCTCTCAGTTTGTCAGCAGTGATTGATTACATTGAGCACAAACACATTACTTACATGGAATAATGATGTGAAAATTACAGTGCTTTGAGTTTGTAGCCTTTGCACTGCCAACTGCACATAAACATGTGTACTGTTTGTGCATGTTTACACTGAAAACGGGAAATCAAACGTCACATTTTCAAACTATTTATGTTTTACCGACTGCACAACACCGTATTCGACTAAATGCACTTTTCTGTGCCGTGTCTGGACTGGTTCAGCCTCTGGCTCGGTGTTGTTGAAGTACATGTGAATGTATTTCTGACGCTGTCGTTTGTGTACCTGTCGTGTTGCCTGCTGCTGATCTAATTCCCTTCAGGATAATAATTAAGTTGAAGTTGAAATTCATTTGAAAAGTACTCCATGTATAACGTATGTTAACTGTTGTTGTTGCTGTAGTCATTTCTCTCTGTCACACCTGCCGCGAGGACAAGGCTTCCTAATACAATATGGATTTACTGTAAAGGATGTGGAACAAAAAACACAATCTGCCAAACCTGAAGTAGGGCATCAGTAGTCTGTCACATCCATAGAGGTGGAAATATTTTCTTGTCAAGTCTTTTAAGTATTTAGATTTAAATTTGTTTCTCTAATGACACAGATTACCGCAGAGCTCCACTGGATGGACATAGAGAGGTCATTTGTACCTAGATGACTTATTAACGTACCAACTTGATTTGTAAAGACTGCAGAAGCCTCATGCTAGTTTATTATTCCCACAGGGAGAATCGGGGATTGAAATCCCAATCTCCTAACTGTGAGTGTGGAAAGAAAGAAACTATACAGCTGTGTTCATGCCACGTTAGTTTTAATATTGAATCATAGCGACGTTGTACCTCACTGTTGCTCATCTGGTAGTAGTCCTTGTAAGCCATGTAGACCTGGAAAGAGTTCACACCTGTAACAAAGAACACAACACTGAGAGAAATACTTGAGAGCATGCTTCTTAAAGCTCCCCAAAAAAGGTTCAAGCTTGATGTAAAAATGAACTAATAACCAGGATGTTGATGATTGTAAGATCGAAAACATGTTATTTTGTAAAATTTTCAAGGCAACATGTAACCTGTATTTAAATATGGATAGACTTTTACTATTATTGCCTACACTACTTTAAAATAACTGCAATTACAGACATTTGTTTTAACAATAATTAAAAGTAGAGAAATTCATGAGAGCCCTTCATATGCACTCTCCAATTAAAAGTGTCAAAAGTAAGAAACTAGACAGTCACGTAGACGTTGTGCCACATCATCACAGCCCACCTTTCTCCTTGATGAGGCTGTCCACTTCCTGCTTGATGCTGTCATTCCAGTTGGTGATGTCCACGTGGAAGGAGTAATCACAGCAGGACTTCTCATCTGCCCACTGCCTCCACTGGTCATACGCCTCCATCAGGCTGCTGCCAGGCTCTGGGATCACGTGGTCGACTGGAGGGTGGGGGGTGGGGATTATGGAGCGGTGCAGAGGGGTGAAAGGATGAGTGAAAGGAGGAAAAGTTTGAAGATGAAAAAAAACAAAAAAACGTTCAAGGATAGGAAGGAGAGTTAGATGGTGAAATGAATGGACAGACAAAGCATGACAGATTAGGGTGGGGGGCAGTCACACATAAAGAGAAGTGGACAGGGTGATGTGAGGATTTGTCTGCTGGTGTTGCTACTTTCTCTCTGTATTGTTTATCTTGCATAATTAGCTGTCTGTCTGGGTTCCAGCAGGGAGAGACCTTAGGGATGTCAGATGTCACATTACATTTTGAATATCTTTGTCAGAGTGAGGGTGTCCTTGATAGATCGCGGGGGGGGTTATTTTCTAACTTTTGTCTTGGCTGTGTAAGCTCGTCAATTCATGGTTTAGAGACTGACAATTTCTAAAAAAGATTTATTGAGTAGAGTAATAAAGTGCTTCTGGGGACTGTTTTGACATGCAGCAAATATCAGAAGAAAACTACAGCCGTACCAATATCTCAGTGGACAGATAGTAAAATAGCCTCATATTTGTTTGATTTGGGCCAATCTCAGATATGTAACAGGGTAAATGCTTTCCAATAGGGTCAGATAGTAAACTTTTTTTTTTCTGAAGAACATACGAAGCAGAGGACATGTTGTCAACATGCAGTTTGCCTAACAGGACATGCTCCATTGTTTTCTGTACTTGTATCCCTATCTATAGTCTAATTAATAAGTATAGGTATTGTTAAAAATGTCTACTACAGTTGCATTAAAAAAAAGTTCTTTCAACCTTTGCATGACCACATTCAGGCTTAATTGGTGCGCAACGCACTCAGGAAATCTCTGTTTACATTCCAGCTCAAACTGTTACTGTATCAGCTGTCAGCAGGATCTGGTTTTCAGAGGTAATGAGTCAACTGACCTTAAAAATTCCAGGACTCCACAATATACAGACAACGTTTCTGATCTGTGCATTTTCAGGATGACACTTTGACTACATGTTTGTCTTTCTACATGCCTGTAATGTGAGTTTTCACTGAGATGATTCAAGGGCATTTAATCCTCACCATACACAACAGTACCACTGTGCACACAAAAATCCTGCTGCATCTTAGTCAGCTGTAATACAATAAGGCCGCCTGCTGGCTCTCCAACCGACTGTCGTCTTTAGCTCATTAAAGACGACCCAATCTGCTTATCTGCTCTTTGTATGTTAATAGGATAGAGCTGGACACAGCAGTCACATACTGTAAAAGCACGGCTGTTTCGCATGGTAGCCAACTGAACTTGCTCACAAACACAACATCATCTGTAAGTAGAGACAGACCTGTACAGTGTGCGCCACACACAAGGAGATACAAAGAACAGTGCATGTTTTCACTTTCACTCTTCGCCCTCCGGAATATAATCCCTGAAAGAAAGGAGCCCATGAATGGAGCTTGCTACAGTGGCACGCCTGTCTGTTTAGACCCTGTGCGGGCCTGGCAGACAAGGAGCAGGGTAGCAGCCGGCTCAAAAGAAGTTAATGGTATTAATGAGACTGTGGTATCTACCAGCTGTTAGTGTGTTAGCGCCTGGTGTCTCTGCTACATGAAGCATACATATGCAGCCGCACTGTACACAGACAACTATGCAGACAGCGACTGGTGTTGTATTTCCATGAGAGCAGAGCAGTGTCCCCCCCCTACACTCAGTCTTTTGTAAGGCCCTGATTTGGAGAGCTGCCCAAAAAAAGACCCCAAAAAAGCTTTCTCTTGTCCTCTGTTAGGGTTTCACCCCTCCTTCCCCTTCTTTTACCCCTCTTTCTACATGACACCATACTTCAAAGTGTGCATGGACTGTCCAGAAGCCCCTTACCGATCATAGTCGTGCCGCCAGCAAGGGCAGCCTTTGACCCCTGCGCAAAGTCATCCACGGTGGTGGTTCCACGATATGGCATCTGGAAGTGGGTGTGGATGTCGATGCCACCGGGGATCACCATCTTCCCGTTGGCTTCGATGGTCTTCACCCCGCCAGGCACAATCAGGTTGTCTCCGATCTGCCTGTGGAGGGAAGATGGAGTTGTTGCATTTGTATGTTGAGAGGATGTTTAAGCCACAAGAGTTTTCAGACAACAGACTAAACTGCATGGTGGGATTTTTTCCGGGCCTTTTTTCTTTTATATATATATATATATATGTGAATATGACCAATCTTTATACAATCTTTGACAGTAGAGAAAATGCTCATATTAACTCCCACAACTTGGAAAAGGTTCCTGAAATGTCTTTTTTGTCGAAGCACCAGTTGAAAACTCAATATTTTATATATATATATATATGAGACAGAAATTCTTGCATTTAAGCAGCAGGAACCATCAAACGTTTGACTTATTATCAAAATATTTCTCCAGGGATTTGTTTTCTCTAATAATCCTTGCAGCTCGAGATGTCTCCACATTCAAGCTCCCCTGATATAGTTTTAAGTAAGAGGGGGAAAAAAACAAGTGATACCGGCAAGCAACTGAGTTGATGTTAACCTACAAAACAAAACAAAAAAAACAATGCAGGTAGCGGCTGAGCATTGTTGGAAACATCTTGACTTTTATTCTAGTGCTACATTTGCAGGGATTTTAGTTGATTTCAACGGACAGACATCTTTATTCAGGGATGAAAGTCAAAAGCTTCAGAATGACCACAAAACAAAGTGAGTCAGGCTTGAAGCAGTACATTGTCACCATGTCAACACATGGACATTTCGCCCCTGTTGTTCGGACTTTATAGAGCAGACCGACCAGACAGACAGACAGGCGAGCAGAGGCCAGTGTCTCTGTGAGTTCGCCAGCAGCCCAATGCTCCAGCAGGCATCTGGGTGCTTATTATGCAACACCAGGCTTTCTGTGGGTGCCTCTCTCTGAGCTGCCTCGCTGAGAAACAGGGGGGTGCGGGGACAAAGAGACTATAATGGGAAAATCAAGTGGGAACAGAACAGAGGGGAGAGAGAGGACAGACTGATTCAGGGAGCCACAGAAAGGAATTCAAACTCCCCTCTCTTTAGTCTGATGGGGCGGGGACATGAGCATACGAGCACATAAAAATGGGGACTAAACTGGCTGATATCACTTTGTCTTTGAGCCAAACGGCCTCTTAGCTTAACTGTCTCTGTTTTTGGTCCAGACCAGCCAGCAGGACACAGTGTGCCGGATGAAGCAGCTTCTGTGATTTTCTATGAAGTTTCTTTATCGACAATTCTGCAGAGAGTTAATGAGGCTGCTTTATTCAGTTTGGGTTATTTTAGGCAATAATAGTAATATTTGCTCTTGACTTAAATCATTAAGGTTCCTGTAGCATGCAGAGACGCAACACATTTTCCCTTCAAAAGGTTTCCTTTCACACTACACATCCCTAAAGCAACCTAAATTCCAACAACATAGATTCATTTGAAAATAAAAAGGAACTGAAACTGAATGATAAACCCGGATGTGGGTGGTGGTATGAAATTCAGTATGAGTGAATAAAAGCAGAGCAGAAAGGAGGACAGCTCAGGACTTACTTAATGACGCCATCCTCCATGTAGATGTCGGCATGGAAGGACTGATCATCGTTCACGACCCTCCCGCCTTTGATCAAAAGCCTGTCGCTCTGAAGAAAAGAAGGGAGGGGGGGAGAGAAAAAATAGAAATGTTATGATTCAAGGCCAATATTTCATCCAACAAATACCCAGTTTTGTTTGAAATATTTTCAAGTGAAGCTTGATTGGACGATCCACTATGTCAGATTATTTCTGTTCTAAACTTAGAGCTGGACAGGGTTTCTCTGTTTTGCAGGGTTGGTTTATTTCCTTATTTTTCCACCCATAAAAGAAGAACAATGTGACATTCATTCACTGATTCATGGCTAGGATGTTTGTCAGTCGTGTCTCATTTTAGGGCACAGCAAACAGTTTATCCTTTGAGTCTGTCTGTCCCAACTCTCCAGTTGCTCTGGTTTGCAGTTTGATTCTCTTTGAGAGCAAGCAACCAACATTTTCATCGGATTCAGTCCTTAAGAAACAGACAAATCAAGAGCCAATCTCACATTGTTCCACGCTTAAAATGTGAAGTAATGTTTTTTTAAACCAATGCAAGTACTTATAATAGTTTCCCAAATGACCATGGGAAACGTCCATTCACATTTTTAGATAGTAAAAGTTGCCTTCTGTTATACACGAGTCAGACATTGATCACAGTGTTGCTTCTTGATTGTTGTGGCTTCTTAATAATCAACCAATTCTTAAATTGGCAACTTTATGACTTTCAGTATAGTCAACACCAAATGTAGAGTTTGTCCTTCTTTGTGTAGCCCATTAAACGATCTTTAAAAAACAGAGACGCTTGTTCTTTCATGTTCTGTTCTGTTGTGAACTATACAACTTGGGAGTGTTTGACTTATCCACAAAAATAAGAAACTAGAAGTTAGTCACAAAAAAAAAGCAAAGCAGCTTTCAACTCGTATTTCTGTGCAGTCAAATGGCCCTGACCTGAAGTGGAGGTTTATTTGAGCAGGTTTGAGATGGTGGCTGGAAGCAGAACTGAAGCTGCTTTGAAGGACTGATCATGGATTAACATTTGAACCACGGTTATCCGGATTTCGTTACGTAACATGACCATGGATGGATGTTATTTTCTCTGTATAATCCATTTATCTAAAAAAGATCAAATGCGATCGGCTGTATTGATTAGTGATCCTGCCATGAGGAAGACTTTTTTTTTATAAATCTGCATATAAAGAATAAAATAATTCCATGCAAATAAATCCTGCCGGGATGTGCTACACTGAGACCACATAGCTTTGTCGGCTCTGATGAAGCCTTCAGCATTACATCTGGTAATGTGGGTTGATCTGGGCGTTGCCATGATGCCACACAGTCAGACATCATATCTGCTGCACCAAGGACTACTCGAGCGGGGCGTTGTCATGGTAACAGTTCGACTGCAGGAAGACAGACTAGAGAGGAGGGAGAGTAAAGCCTGCTTGTGCTGACTGTTAGGTAGTTAGGTCACCAAACAACTGGCTGTCCAACATGTCAAAAAGCTGTTACCATTATTCAACTTTAATGTGGGTTTGTTTTGGGCAGTTTTTTGTTTTGTTTATGAAATAAGAATACGTAGGCATAAATATATTTAAAAGTAGCCTACAACTGATAAATCAGTGATGAAACTAACATAAATCAAAGCCCATCATGAATGTCTCTGTCAGAAAAGCTAAAATAAGAGAATTATTTCCAGAGTAAGTAAAGTCTATAATATTTGCAAGACCACTGTCAGGAGATATAAAGCCTTCTTGGTTAAACAATAAAATAGAATTGCAAACCAAAAAGGACTCTGAGCCTTTGCTAAGAGGGACAGACTTCCATATTTTCCAATCAGCACATATGTCCTGTGATTTATATTCCTGGCTTTGGACCCAATGTTTCATCACTATAATGAACTGCAGCCACTCCTTTACATAGCAGAAAAAAAGGAAAACGCTGATATAGGCTTTGTATGAAATTCAAATGGTACGACTCAATATCTGCAAAAGCTCATGAGCACATGTAAAGTGTGTACTCTTGTGTTTGTGTGTGTGTGTGTGTGTGTGTGTGTGTGTGTGTGTGTGTGTGTGTGTGTGTGTGTGTGTGTGTGTGTGTGTGATGGTGATGGAGTTGTGTGAAACAGAGCTCAGAGCCTTCCTAAGAAACCACACCCTGAAGCAACACATTACAACACACACAGTCATCAGAGGCTGGAGAAACAAAAGCAGCATACATCATACTGTGGAGCATGGCTGACCTGAAACTGTCACTCATTAGCTCAAAGACAATACTTTTTCTATTTGATTCTCAACTTCAACATGAAAGACAGATATGCATTACTGTACTTAATTTATCTCAGTGAAAACTGGACTCAGATTGTAGTCTAATGTGGATTATGAGGACATAATTAAAGCCAGACGCCTAAAAATGATGAACAGAAATCACAGTTAACAGACATTACCTACACTGGATAAGAAGAGAATATACATCTATTACTGAACATGCATACATGATCATCATGCACTCATCATCTTCCGTTAGAGGTAAATAACTTTGCAAAAATATAAATTTTACCACAATAAATCGATATTTTGTGTATTCCATCTACATAACAAAGAAAATAATAAAATCCTCACATTTGAGAAGCTATGAATGGATAATCTTTCTTAATTCTATATCTGATATTTGATTTAAAGGTCACATATAATGCAAAATACACATCAAAACGTTTTTCAAACACTAATACGTGTCCCTATCTGTCTACAAACCCCCCAATTATGAGAAAGTCCATCCTCTCTGTCTTTTGCCTGCTCCACTTTTTAGAAAAAGTGTCCTCAAACAGGCCGTTTCGAGATTTTCCCTTCACGACATCACAAAGGGCAGTAACCCCTCCCCCAGGTGGGTGACACTTCCACAGCTAGGTGTTTGTTCTGCCCTCTGAGTCTGCCTTCTCACCATAAACAATAGGGCAAGGGGCAAAAAAGCCAGAGCTAACCCAAGCCCTTCCAGAGAGGGGCGTGGTCAAACACAGAAACAGCCTGTTCTGAGCAGGGCTGAAAATAGAGGCGTGATAAAATACAGCATCACGGTGAGTTTTAACAAGAAACTTCACGGATGTGTTTTGGGGACCTCTGAGACTTATCTAAACTTGTTGAAAAGGAGGATATGTGAATTTTTAACAATATTAAAGCAACTTTTGATTGGATCTGGTATAATTTAGTATGACATAGCAATACAGACCCGCTCCAATCAACGATTTTTTTAAATGTCATTCATAATACTGCAGTGAAGGGAGTGCACTCATGCAAGGGTGCCATGCTGAATTGGTGCTCTCTCGCTCTCCTTTTGTATCTGCTGATTCCAATCAGTACAGACATAATGAAGTTATCTTCAGTCAGTAGAAAACTAAGATGTTCAAATGTTTAACGTGAACAACCCTCAGCCATTATTTGAAAATATAAAGGTACAGGCAAAAAAAGCATGACCATACTGTCACACAACATCAAGAAACGCCTCATTTTAGTTGAAGTGGTGGTAGTGCCGTTTGGTAATGCAGTGTGGGTAACCGGGCTGTCAAGCTTTTCCAAAGACACTTCGTCAGAGAGAGCAGTTTTTCGGCAACACTTCTTAATTTGTCATGCAGACCTTTTGAATCTATAACAAATACTTTCCAGCGCTCATGTCATTCAACCACAAATAGCAATATGTTACACTACAACATTTCGGAGAGGAGTGGGGGGGAGTGATAGCATGTGTTTCCCAAGGGTGCCACATTTATTGACCAATGTGAGCCAAAAGGGGAGACTGTTTATTGTTTCAGAATGTATCCAGCTTTTAGCACTTTTTCCAAAATAGGATTTGCTTGATATCTTTTTGATTATTTCTACCACCGCAAAGTCAATCAATAAACTTAGTTCATTACGTGTGTTCATGTTTACACATGTAACAAATATTTTCCTTTGGTTGTGTAACAGCATCATTACTAGAGTTGAATCCATCTGTGCTTTTCTGTGGTTAAAGTAGAATATGTGACCATTCTTTTTTACGAGGTAAATGACACAATACTATCCACATACTGAACACAAACCAGTCATGTTGTTGTTTCCAGTTTTGTTTGCTGCCAAGGACGATTTACCGGCATTCAGTGGCTGATCATGCTGTGTTCAAAGGACTGGGTAAGATATCTCAGATGGGACTGGACTGTTTTAACATGGTGGTGAGCCGTTCTGGCTATGTGTCTGATAATATAATATGGAAATGTCATGTCATATAGATTCAATTTAAAACACACATCATGCTTCAGTTATCTATGTTTTGGTTATTGGATCTCATTCCCAACTATCCTTGAGAGATCACCATGGGATATTTTTTTTTTTATTGGGGGTGGGGGGTACTTTTATTACATTCAGCTTCAAACAGTTTCAAACACAGTGACAGTAGTGTGGTGTGGTATTGTATAGTGATAGTGGTTTTGGGCTACACAAGACATTAATGATGATGTTGATCCTGATTTGCTCTGACCTTCCAGGGTCACTGACCATGCCCTCATTTGTCAATAATGTCACTGTAACGGTATAGAGTATTAGGAAGAGGAAAATCATCTTACTGGATGTGCTTTTTTTTAACGGTTCTGTTGTTACAGAAAAACAATTCACTACACGTATATGTATGTTCAGATGAAAAGCAGATATCTGTGTTTATTTGCCAAACTGTTTCCAGCCAATAAAAAACAAAACAGAAATGTGTTTTTGTGAGATTTTTTTTTTTTTTACTGTTTAATGAGACCTTTGGCTCCAGCCATCACACATATTTCTTGCTCATCTCCCCTTTAATGACTGTGCTGTGTGTGTGTGTGTGTGTGTGTGTGTGTGTGTGTGTGTGTGTGTGTGTGTGTGTGTGTGTGTGTGTGTGTGCCCCTGACCTACTCCCAACACTTAGGCCTCATGTAAGCAGCGGAGGATTTGCTGTTTTACTAGCGTAAGTCACCGAGTGCCGGATTTCTTCAGCTGGTGATGAATTAGGACAGTTGAAGAAGGATTAGTCTCAGCACGGACATCACGCAAACAGCACAACTAAATCATCTACAAAT